AGCAACAACCACTGGTGGGAGTGAGGCTGCAATTCCGCTGCATTATTCCCTCCATGGGAGGCCTGTCATTTCTTCAGAGCGATGAGCTTCAAGGTCATCTTCATTTACCTCCATCTCTTTTGCTGTCCTTCCTGGAGGGCAGCTTTCCATGGGAAACTTGTCCTTCCAGGCACGAATCCATGCTTTAAAGACTGGCATTTGACAGAAGATCTGTATGAAATATTCAGGTATTTGGTAAGTAATTGACTGCAGGCAAAATAAATAATTTAGACAGAATTAAACCTGAAAATAAATACTAGTTAAGCAAAACTAATATGCTGACAGTGCTGGTAACTGGGAGTTCTAACATAATCTACCCTGTCTGCACTCCATGAACTCCTTATCCATGGCCCAGCTCAGAGATTGGTTTCTCTGGGCTGGGGGAGCTGGGCTTGCCCTTGGGACAGAAACCCTGGGCAGATGGAGCTCAGGAATTCCACCCCTCAGCCCTGCAGAACTCAAACCCTAAATCTCAGAGCTTGGGAGGGTTCCTGAAGTCCAGCAGCCTCTCCTGCCAGTGTTGAAGCAGCCATGAATCAACAGCAGATCTCTCCACCCTGATGTAAATGTTGGTGTATGCACAAATCATCCTTTGCCTGCTTCAGAAGATCCATTATCAGATTTAAACAAACATAAATTTTCAGACACATTTTTTTAAGTTGCTCTGGGGACAATGTCAGAAAAATACAGTATAATAATTCATCTTATCCTCTTGTTTTCAGCATCAGTGGATAATTGCTGCTATCCACTTTACCACAAATTTTACCAAATAATTATCATTCTTTAAGCCATTCACGTAATTTCAAGTGGAAATGGCTCTTTTGCAGGAGAGATAAATTAAATACCTGATTCTTACTGAAAAGCTATAAAATCTTTAATTAGAGATTAGCAATGACAGCAGTTATAGTCCATTGTACTTAATTCCCAGATCCTGGTAGTGATGGACATACCATTTATTTAATTTTTTCAATTTTATCCAGATTTGACAATCCATACTTGGTAGAGTTGTCCATTGTAGAAATGGTATGTTCAAATATATGTTTGTTGAAATGACAGTTTTTAATGAGCACCCTGTATTTTTAGAGAATTCTACATCTTGAGAGCATTCTGTTTTTTTCTAAAAGCACTTAAAAAGCATGTGGCAGAGTTATCTGAATTTTTGGTGCCATGCCTGAGCTAAGATTGTCCCTACTGCACCAGACTCTCACTAAAGCCTCTGGCTAAATCCTGGCTCTGGGCAAAAGAGAACCAGCCAGGAATGGAACACTAACTCCACAACTGCAATCTCTATGATCTTTTGTTATTTTATTATTTTTAACTTCCTCTATCCCAAGGCTGCTTCTGCTCCACTCTCCTCAAGAGAAGTGACAAGAGTGCAGCTGCAGGCTGTGAGAAAAAACTGTGACAGTTGTGCTCTACAGATTGGCACATAGCACAGGGCAAAAATTAATGCAGAATACCTCTGGTGTATTTTGTCTATAGGCAAAATCACATCTACATAATCATTTTTGTTGATATTTTACTTCCTAAAACTGTGAAGAACCTTTACACATTACTGTGCTCTACAGTAAACTGGTGTTATAGTTATGCTTTGAAGACTTGGTTAAACACATCTTGACAAACATTTCCAACATTTCTATTGGGATCACTCGTGTTTGAAGTAGGTTTTGCACCTTAGAGTACAAGATTTATTAATTTCTTCTGTGCTAAGGAAAGCAAATTATTATTTGATTCCTTGGTCTTGAGTGAATCAGCCAACAACAGGACAATTGCTCAAGTCAAAAGATACCCCAGTGATCATTTAATTACTATTGGCACATTTTCTACTGAAATGCTCTGGAGGCAACAAAATACTGTAGTGATGGGGCTGTGAGGTAACCTGACAGATTTATGGAAGGGGATGTGAAGCAAACTGTCCCTGGGGCTTTCCTGCCTCATGCCCATCTCCCCAGGTGCTGTGCAAGATAATTGTAGTGCTTTGTTTATTTATTGGGCTCCTGGCTGCGGTGCCAGGCAGTGCCATGGCAGCTCTGCCCAGGCACCCGGGGCTGGGAGCTGCAGCCTCAGCCTGACCTTGGCATGAAACCCTGAGGATTCCAGCTGTTGGGAGGGTGAGGGAAGGCTGAGGGGTGTTGGGATGCTGTCTGCCCTCCCATGGCAGCGGCAGAGCGCACGGGAGGGGTGGATGGAGCTCTCTGCTGGAGACAGGTGTGACCCAGAAGGAACTGCTTGATCCCCCACTAAGGGCTGTGGGGATGGAGAGGGCAGTTCCCAACAGCCAAACTGCTGTGCTTGTTCGTGGAGAGAGAGCTTGTAGTCTCTAGTGCTGGCATCACACTGAGCTTAATTTTTAAAAAGAAATTAAATAATCATGACCATGCAATTTTTCTAGCTAGCAGTTCTTAGGCTTCACTGAGAAAGTCCTCATGAGAGGTTACAAAAGCTGAACTGCTTCTACTTTCTGGCTGCGATTATCAGTAATTTTATATCTGTACTGGGATTTGTAGGTGCAAAGGAGGAGCTTTTGTGCAAACTTCCATTGTCTGTATCCCACTCCTATGTTTATCAGTTGCTAATTTGCCAATGCAGCAAATTTCTGAAGGGAAATATGTACAAACAGGAGGAGGGGAGGAGGTGGGACCACAAAAACAACGAGGGGAAAAAGAGGGGGGCTCATTACAGTTGGTGGAAAGGAAATTTATGCACATTTGGAATGTGCAAATCATTATAATCTTGCCCAAACATTAGGGATCAAAGAACTATGCAAGACTTTGCTCTCTGATCTGTTTCTGAGATTCATCAAAATAATGCCAGAAAAGCAGTTTCTTCTTCTCAGCCTTTATCTGTTACAGAAGCTGTACATAGCCATAGAAATATTCCTGATTTTCCATTACCATTTTAAAATAGATGGGTAAGATTGTAACTGTTACCTTGAATCTCCACTTTATGGAGGAATGTTCCATATGCAGTTCCATATAACAGCTCCTCTGAAGACAGTGTTAAGTTATATATCTGTGTACTGATCCAGTAGGGTTAATAGATGATTTCAAGTTATGGGCTAAGGATAGAAAAATCTGCTGAATGGAGATAAAGAGCAGAATTTGGGTGATATTCAGAGCATTTTAATGGCCTCAATTTTGACATGCAAAAGAGGAAGGTTTTTAGATGCTTCTCCACCAGACTGTGCAACTTATGATTCAGGTCCTTATGAGAAGGATTCACCTCCCAGTATTAGTTGTCTGATCACAATTCCATCTGTTTGGAGAGGAGAAACTCTGGCTGTTCCAAGGGATGGGTTAAGGACATGTCAGTACCTAAAATACTCTACCAAGTGCAGAAGGAGCCTGAGCAGCTCCTTTGGTGCCTCGCTCTGTTGTGTTCTGTGATTGGTGTCAAGTGGGGCAGCTGAGATTCTCTTCAGTTTCTCCCTCCTGGAGAGCCTGGGTCCTGGCTAGTGCATGGCAGCTTTGCAAGCAAGGAAGGCAATCCTCTTTCTCTTCTAATTAGGTGGATTGGTGTGTTCTAACATCTGGAAAACCTGGGACTAAATAGGACAGAGCACAGGGCAGGAGGGGAGAGGCGTGTGTGTGTATATATATATATTAATGTTCTGATGTAAAATGAGAGGCTGCTTAGGTTATCAGACAGAGCCCAGCAAGTTTGCCAGACAGAATGTAATTAGGCATCTGTGCCAATGGACATGTTCTTAAATGCTGGATAAATACAGCTTTATTCCTAGGTATAAACCAGACATAATATTGCAGGAGAATCCTGCTGAGTTCCTGTCACTGGCTGAAATCTGGGATATGACAGGTCCTTTAGAGGGATTCTGCCGCTTTCCAGGTGCAATTATCACTGCACTTGTCACTGCAATTGTCACTGCAGTGATTGGTACCATCTAAACTGTGTGGTCTAGTGTAGGGGCTCTGCAGAAATGGCAGTAAGTAATTCTGCTTCTGAAGACAAAAAGATTTCAAAGTGCAATGTAAAAAAAAAAAAAAAAAAAAAAGATTATTGTAATTTATATGCATTTCTATTTCTTGTACTTGTAATTTATCAAAGCCATAACTTCCCTGTAGAGGGCTGAAATTGCAGAAGAATTCTTTTGTAGGTTACTACCTCAAAGTACTTACGGAGAATTTCTTCCATGGTTTTGGTTCCCCCACACTTTGATGGAATAAAGTGACTGTGAACTGCACTTTGTTGGAGTACCTGGAAGTTTTAATTTGAGCAGGCATCTCTGGTTCAGCTGTCCATTAGGCTTGCAGAGGAGAGTGCTCCACTCAGCTTCTATCTGACAAGCGCCTCATTTGTATGTTAATGCTGAGTTGTGATTTCCAGGGAAGGCATTCAGCGTGTTGTAAAGGGCCTTACTGGCAGATTGCAGCTAAATTGATGCTCGACTCACTAAATATTTACCCTACACATCCCACTTAATATGTCCAAAACCAGGCATACTGTGAAATCCTGAAACCTGATTCTGTGCTTATGAAAGTCAGGAAGCTGGTAATGTCAGCGTGGAGCCAAGTGGAGCCCGGCGCTGCCAGCACAGCCCCAGCCCATCCCTGCAACCTCCTGCCCGTTCCCATTCCCATTCCCATTTTGTGCTACTGCTCCCACCCAGGGCTCACCCGGCTCTGGGGTTCACATGGCTGCTCCTCAGTGCCAGGGCAGCGCTGCCCCCGCTGCCCCCACCCACAGCTCCCCCAGCCCTGCTGCCCCTCCTTCTCCAGGGCTGCCCGTGGTCCCTAGAGGATGCATCCTGAGCACAGCTGAGGGAGCACTGTGGCCTCACCGCTCCTTGCCTCGTGTAACCACTGGGAGAAATTATTTGGGGTAGGACAGCTGTGGTAATGCCTTTGTGCCTGTGCCCTCAGACATCCCTAATGTGCTAAAGCTGGGGCAGTGGTGAGGGCTGGGTTGGAGACCTTCCAGCTCACCTGTTTGTTTTTATTCCCAAGCTTGTTCTCCCAACGAGTTCCAGTGCAGTAACAAATCGTGCATCTCCATCATCTTCGTGTGTGACGGTGACAATGACTGCGGGGACGGCAGCGATGAAAGGAAGTGCTCCCCTCTGACCTGCAACCCCAACGAGTTCCAGTGCAACAACAGCGTGTGCATCCCGGAGCTGTGGGTGTGCGACAACCAGCCCGACTGCGAGGATCAGTCCGACGAGTCCATGGAGAAGTGCGGCTACGACACCAAGGCCCTCAACACGTGCGCGGCCCACGAGTTCCAGTGCGGGAATGGCGAATGCATCCACCTCAACTGGAAGTGTGACGGCGACGAGGACTGCAAGGACAAGTCTGATGAGCAGGACTGCCGTGAGTGTCTGGGGGCAGGGCAGAGGGCTCTCTGGGCAGGGGTGGAAGGACCAGGAGGCTGCTGTGGGCGGTGTTTGAAGACAAGGCTTTGATGTGTGAGCAGCAGCTGTGCCAGACAAGGAGCGCTTGTGTCCCACATGACATGGCTGGGTGCTCAGCCCAGCAGGGTCAGGTGTGTTCCACACTCCTGCTGTGCTTTTTCCTTGAGAATCCATAGAGGAGGTGTAAGAGCTGTTGGATGGTACCATGCCTCAGAAGAGATCTGTCTCACTAGAAAGACAAGGAGTGAAAAATGGGAAAAATGTTCAAAGCCCTCAGGCTGCATGATGGGGTCACAGCCTGGGGGTTAGAAGCTGCTATGCTAAAGGGAATATATGATCAACAGGAAAAAAAAAATTCATTTTCTACCTCTGAAGTTGGAGTATACTGAACAAGGCAGTCAAGAGAAGTACCTCTGAAGAATCCAGTTTGAAATGCACTTTGAGCTTGGCTTGATAAAGGCACAGAGCTAATAAATAATGGATTTCTTTTCAGCAGGCTTTATGCATTTAACATGCTGGTGTTGGTATGTGTGGTATTTTGAATGTTTCATCCATTTTTAGCCGCTAAGCTGTTCAAGCTGGTCACTTACCTGAGGAGGGAAAGAAAACAAGAGCAAAATGTTTTGCTAGAGTATTCATAATGACAAGATTGAAATTAAATATTTACATAGCTGTTTATATTTAGCAGCTCTGACATTGGGCTACCACTGGGGAGGAAGGCAGCAACCAGCTGCAAACCCAGGGATTTTTACAAGGTATCTAAGGAAATTTATCACTTTTGCCAGCACCATCTTTTTATACCCATGACAACATCAAGGCCAGGCTGGTGAGCAGCTGTGTGGGAGAGCCTTTAAGGAGCTGGGGATCAGACTTTCTTCCAGGCAGAGAAGCAGGTGTAAATTCAGAGGCTTCTTTAACAGGAGGAGGATGTAGTGAATCCTGGACACCACTGCTTGCACTGAAGGAGAGCAGGGGGATGAGCCACAGGTTACCCTGGAGCTGCTGTGCCTTTAAAATAGCCAAGGACTCTTAAGAGGGGCAAGAGTTGAACAGAAGCCAAAAATGTTTTGTTATGAAGAGAGCAGCTTTGGCTGCTGTGTACAAGGCTGTCAACCCCTCCCAAGGAGGGGTGCATTAGGTAGGCTGGTTTTTCCTTCATCTCCAAAGTGCTCAAGTTGCTGACAGAGCTCTTGAACAGAAGGTGCCCAGGCAGTAGTGTCGGGGTCTGAAGGATCACGGGGACTGTTGGGTCAGGAGACAAAGTTGGTTCCTGGCTCAATTTAAGGACAGCCATGCAGAAGCACAGCTGCTGGAGATGGGCACTGCTGGCTTGGGCAGCCTGAGTGGTTTGTACTTGTTTCCATTCTGAGACCTCCTGTGGGCAGTCCTGTTCCTGTGTCCCCTCCAAAGCAGGAGGCAATGGCAAGGGCCATGTTACAAACAGAGGTGAAGAACTGGTGTCTGGTACAGGGGACTCCAGCAAAACTGATCTCTGTCCCACAGAATAGATTCCCTGCAGTGACAGCAACCAGAGAGCATGACTGAATTTGGACAGCTCAGGAGAGGGAAAGGTGTGCTCCCTTCTATTGCCAAGTGGAGAAAGAGGGGAGCAGCTCACTGATGGTGTTTTCTGATGAAATGCCTCTTAAATTTCAATCCCTGTTCAACTTGAAATGTTTTAAGTCTTTTACAGGCTCCATTTATTTTGACATTCTGCTGGGTGAGAGGAGTAGGACTGTGCCCACGAACCTTCCTGAGGCAGAGGGCTCACTGTTCCCCAGCTTCTTTCCTTGGTGTGACAGGCACCAGCCATGTCCAGCTGAGCTCAAACTGCCGAGCTGAGAGGTCTGAAGGAGCACAGCTCCACCAGCCTTCCTGAGCTGCAGAGCAGCCTCAGCCAGCAGCACTTCCAGAGGCACCAGAGGCAGCTCCCAGGGCAGAGGATGCAGCTGGACACCGCTGCAGCACAGCACGGTGCTGACAACCAGTGGAGAAAGGGGGAAATGTGGCTGAAGTGACTTGAGAGAATTCTGAGTACTGGAGGTTTAGCACAATGAGGGTCTCTTTCCAGAAAATCTCAGTCCAACACGATGTACAGTTTCTCTACCTGGGAGAAACAAGCATGTGAGCTGATTCTGCTGCCTTTAGTCCTGTGGATTTGGAAACAGTGGGATTCAAAGCCACATTGTTTCACCTCCCTCAGTGCTCCTCTGCACAGAGTGCCTGGTTCTGGTTACACCTCAGGGCCACAGCAGGGTGTGAGCCCGTGGCCATTCACACTGCATGGACGGCATTCTCTGAAGTAGCAACCAGGAGAGACCTCACAGCACTGAGTGCCCGTGGAGCTGACGTGTTGGCTGGGTCAGAGCCAAAATTAATGTTCCTTCCCCATCCTAAATGCAGCTGTTGCTGGGGTGCACCTGTCTGCAGTAAGAAAGGGACATTTGGGAGCTCCGGAAAATCAGCGTCACTTCTCATCTGTTAGACTGAAGACTTTAGGGACTTTTATGATTCTTTTCCACCCCAGAAATTCTCTGTTTGAGATCAGTATCATGGGGCATGCAGAGCCACAGGTGTGTGACACAGCTCTGTCCCCTTAGCAACAGGGATGGCACATGGGCCTCTTGGCTGGACTTAAAACTGCAGACCCCACCAACCCCACCACTACATCTTCTCTTGCAAATGGGGATCATATGGGGTATGTATAGTATAAACAGAGGGATGGGAGCTAATGCTTTAAAAAAAAGTCATGAGGCCATCACCCATCATTTGTTATAAACATTTTGGATTGGTAAATGAGTAGAGCAGAAATGAAGGGTGACAATTGGTGAACAGGTTTTGGCAGTGAGACAGCAAATAAATAGGAGGGAATGAGTTATTTCAGGAAAACATTGAGAACATTGGGTGGCTGGGGTTTTTTCCATAGCATATATATTCAAATATGTATATATGTATATTTATAAAATGAACATTAGGTTAGATTTATTAGTCTCCAAATCTGGAATGGTTATATTTTAAAATGTCCTTTGCAACGTGCATTAGGGCATCCAGGAGGAGGAATAAATAATGCTTACAACTGACAGCAAGAAAACAGACCCCTTGAGACCTGACCTCACACTTTCCTGCCTCTGTCTCCCCATCTATAAAATGGGGTTGATGCATTTTGCAAATGTTGGGATTTTTTCTTTTAGGGAGGAAGGGTAAAAAAAACCAGAAACCAGAAGAAATTGAGGCTCAGATTTGGAGTCTGGAATATACCTGCTGAGTTTGAGCAAGGCAGCTTTGTGCTCAGGATTTGTAAATGGGAAGTGTGTCTCTTTCAGGGAGCCTGTTAATTTAGCAGGGCTTTGGTAATTTATTTTGTATTTGATTTGCAGAGGAGATGGCTGTAAAACTACTGAGATTTCAGTGATTTAAACCTTCCAAATTAGGCACAGCAATTTTCTGAACATCTTGTGCAAATAAACAGCACAGCTCTTGCCTCTTCTTGGGTTATTGCCTTGCCTTGGGAATGGCCTTAATGGGAACCTGCTGTCAGCTCTGCCTGTGGGGCTGAAATGGTTTAGTGTCTCAACTTCAGGATAACATGGAATTCTCCTGAAAAATGCAGCAAAAAATAGAAATACCATACATGCATTTTAATGCCTTTGTAATCAGAAAGAGCCGTTATTGTATCTGCCTTTTCTAGATGTTTGTTAAGAGGCTCAGAGGCTGTTCCTCAAATATCTGAACTTCCACAGCTCTGGTGGAGTGAGAAGTAAGCCAGGGAACCCAGCCTGGTCTCCAAACTTCTGTCTGTTCTTGAAACAAAGCTTTGTGCAGTGAAGTACAGCCCCACATCTGTGTTTTGCAGTCTCTGTAGCAACAGAGCTAAGAATTGTGCTGTCATTTTTCTCTCAGTCTTGGGGTGCTTGTGCAACATTGTCTTTGCAATTCCTACAAAATTCTCCTTAATTTTAATTCATTTTAGGATCAAAAACCTTTCTGTTCTCAGCATTTAGCTATAACTGCTTTTTAGAAGAGCTTTGAAGATTAAAATTGAAGACAATTATAGGTTTTATAACAGCTGTCATCCAAATCTGTAGCTGTTGTCACACAGATTTACTTGATAAACTGGAGACCTGTTTCTGCTCCAGAAAAGACAAAACCCCATTGGCTTTAATTGCATGTTACACTTTTGTGAGGGGTTAATATTTATAGTCAGAAATGGAGGACCATCCCATCCTACCTCCACACATAGAAGTTACTACAGAAAATGTGAAGCAAACTGGTTTTCAAGTTAGGGATGAAAACAAGAAATTAATTGTGGCAAAGGAATTTTCAGTGAGGTAATAGGAAAAGCCTTGCAGTGGCCAAGGTATAGCTTGGCAGAAGTCAGGGTTTCCTGTGGAGGAGGGAGCTTTCTCCATGGTCAGGGCTTCCCCAGGCAGGTGGCTGTACATGCCAGGAACAGTTTAAGCAGAAGTGACTCTGCCTCCCTGCAGGAGTTTTTGGTGCCACTTCCAGACCTGTGGTCTGTGACTCTCCCAGACCACTGCTTTGTTTCTTTCCCCCCTTCATTTTTCTGCATTTGGTAGAGCAGCAGATCCCACATGCTTAGTTTGGAGCTGCCATCCCAGATGTCCCACTGAGGTTTCCCATTCCTGTGCCTGGGTTTATTAGCTGAAACGTGGCAGCACAGCTGGTCCCATAACTGTGCTCATTGCTTGGGAATTTTTTTCTCACTTTGCAGCTTTTTATGAATATAGTGCATATGGCTTTTCTCTCCAAGGAGCAGCGCTATTTCCAAACTTTCCTCATGTGAACACTGGGTATTTCTAATGACAGGATTTCTTCCTTCTCCCACCAGCCCTGCAGTTGTGGCTTTTCCTGTCTCTGGTACCTTTTGCTGGCTGAAGATGCACTAGAACTAAGTCCAGTGAAGCAGTCATGAGCCTGGATCCTGCATCCTGCAGGATGCACTCACCAATAATGTGGAGTCTTTGTGCAACTGATACTTTATGGTATTGATGCTGGCCCACTTCATGTCTGCAGCTCTTCCTGGGTTATCTGAAAGTAGTCATTTTTTATATTAGAACCAGTGTGTCAAATTGTCCAGGGAAGTCGGCAGACAACTCTCACCTCCCATGTAGTAACACCAGTGCTGGCTTCCCCTCACTGCTCAGAAGCAGTGATTTACTGTCAGATCACACCAGGACACAATCACACCATGGAAAGGCTGGAATCAGGAACTTTCCAGGGTGTGCTGCTGTAATAGGATTTTAAGAATACATCCAATGGGCATCTCAGAAGGAAGCTGCAAAATATGTCACAGGAATGAGGAGCCTGTACCCTGTGTCAGCACAGGGTTGGTCCCAGCTAGAGAGGTCTCTCATTCATTGTAACTAGGAGAGGGAAATATGACTGCTTTTGGCATGGTCACTGCAGCTGTCTGGTTTGATATTTTTCCCCAGCTTTGCTGTTTATCAGGTCTGGTTTGAATCTGTTAAAATCTGACCTGGACAAATAAATTTCAGGTATGAAAACTGGGCTGATATTGCAGAGGTGTTTAGGGCAGGAAAGCCCGAGAAACACCCCAGTACAGTGGAGCTCTTCTGCCTTCCAGTGGGCTGTTGGCTCACAGGCATTCGGTAACCTGGTGATTGTGTCTCATTGCTGCCTTCATCCCTGCTGTGACCAAGCTGCTTTGGCAGAATCACTACAGGTCTCTTGCCTGGGCCTTAGCCTGAACATGTGTTGAAATGTATCTGAAATGTAATTTTTTCTGAAGGAAGGAGAGCTGAGGAGCAGTTGCCTTTGCCTACCCAGTGTCACTGTACACTTCCAGCTGGCCTCACAGAGACTGCAGCCCGCAGAGCTGCCCCACTGCTGGGAGTTCTGCTGCCTGCTTGCTTTGTTCTGTCACCTGAGGAGCTTCACTGTCGGCACTGGGTGTGTTTTGACTGGGTGTCCTCATATGGGCTTTGATGCTGTTTTCCCAAGGATGTAGAGGTGATGTGGGACAGCAGAGGGACACAGGAGAACAGTGTGGCAGAGAACATCAAAGCTCGCTTGCTTTGATGGCAGCAGCCGATACTCTGACATTTGCTGACAGAGAATGCAACCCCAGCAGTGTCAGAGGGACATGCCTGATAAGTACCACACAAGTGACTGAGTTCTCTGTGGCTGATGTTTGAATGTGTTGTCTTAAAGCTCTGGTGACCTGCCAGCCAGATGAATTTCAGTGTGGCAATGGGACCTGTATCCATGGGGCAAAGCAGTGTGACAAGGTGCACGACTGTCCTGACAACAGTGACGAGGCTGGCTGTGTCCAAGGTGGGTACAGGTGCTCTTTGTACTCCATGGGGTAAAGCTGCCAGGGCTGTGTGGCCTCTGCAAAAAGAAGAGGCCTCTGCTGCTCCTCTGGGCTGTGCCAAGCTGCTTCCTGCACAGTTTTAAGCCATTCTGGCAGTGGGATTGCTTGGGAGAGATGATTGTGCTGACCAGGCAGACTGCATAACTCGAAAAGTTCTTTGCATGATGCTCAGGCTCAATGTTCATTTGCTTAATCCCATCCCATTTCTGCTAATGATGCCCTCCTGAGCTTTATGTCAGCCTGTTTGTTGTCACGAGCCTCATCTAACTTCAGTTGCTTTCCTCTCTTGCCCAACATGACAGAGTCAGCATGTGAAAGTCCCAGCAAGTTTCAGTGTAAGAGTGGAGAGTGCATTGACGGAGGCAAAGTGTGCGATTCACATAAAGACTGCAGGGACTGGTCTGACGAGCCTCTGAAAGAATGTGGTACAGTACTTGCCTTCTACGTGTTGCTCCTGTTGTAACTGCTTCCCCTCTTCTCCATCTGGTGCTCACAGCTTTGAGTGTAACCACATGTAGCTGCTAATGCTATTTCTCACTCTGCTCCTCTTTCCTTGCCTTTATTCTCTCATCACCCTTCATATGAATATAATTAGCTTAGTCTGATCATCTGTAAGATTGAACTGTGCCCTTTTCCACTCAGTTTTTATTCTTGAAGGGACGTATGAACTGAGCATGGGACTAGGGATGAGGAATTCCCCCTCTCCCGAAATACTAGTGTCCTCCACAACACAGACCAGTTTATTTAGCTTCATTGCCTAACTTACCCTTGAGTTCTAAGATGATGATGATAACACCATAAAAATACAGCTGAACATGCTTTGAAGGTGAAAGCATGTAGAGTGGCAGCAGCCCCTGAGAGAGGACTTCAGCCATTTCTGTGTTGTACACGTTGGTTCTGCTTCCCTCAGCAATGCAGCAGGCTGCTCTCTGCAGTGTCCTGCCAGCTCTGGGCTGTAGGAATGCCAGGAGAGTCAGGGCTGTTTGAGCCAAGGGAACAGAGCCCAGGCCACAGAGCTGTGCCCTTCTCTTGCCTTTCTCACCAGATATTGTGGGCATCAGCCCCCATCTGTAGCATTACTCAAACACATTTCTTGTTTTCCCCAGAGCAGAGATGTCTCCAACAGGCATCTCTTTCCATGGCATCATGGAGCTCAGTGGCTGCCTCTTAAATAACTCCTGTTCAGGAAGAACTGTCAGTCTCTCCCCGTTTTAGACAAGCAATAGTGTGTGCATGCCTAGTGAAGATGCTCCTACCTCATGCTTCCAGTGTGCCCTTGCTTTCTTCCACTAATCCACATCTCCCTGTTTCTCTGAGTGGGTGTTGCAGCTGTCTGTGGAGGTCTCCCAACAAAGCTGGCAGCCTGGTTTGTCATAGGAGACTGGGCAGTGGCACAGCTGGGCTGATGTTCAACCCAGTGGTTGTGGTGCCATGACTGGTGCAGCCCTGGGCTGCAATGAGGAGTTGGGAAGCAGAGAAGAGTCCCCAGGGGAAGACATTTCTCAAAGGGTGCAGTGCTGCGGGTTGCTGTGACTGTAATGCCCACACACAGGTAATCTCCACAGGAGGCAGAGGTGCAGGACACACTCCCCAGCTCAGTGTGTCTCTCTGGCTGTGCTAAACTCTGCAGTGCCCTCTGAGAGTCCCCCAGAAAAGCACTGCAGAAGGCAGGACACTTGGCTATTTTAGTCAGGCAGGGAATATAGTGCTGAAGTTTGAGTGAAGAGCAGCAGCTGCCACAGTTCTCCTGCCTGGCTCTGCCTGGCTCCTCCTCAGCTCCTCTTGAGAAGGGCAGCAAGTGAACCAGCACTTGATTTACAGCCCCTAAATCCGTTCCACAGAGCACCTCTGAAACCATGGGAATCACCTGAGTGAGACTTTACTTGTTAATCAAAAGAGCCTTTGCAGTATTTTGCAGAGAGCAGTTGTGCATGTTGATGACCCAATTTTCTACACATCCCTGCAAGTGTAGGCATAGGAGATTTCCATCCATAAATGTCACTGAACAGTGACAACATACAATGGGACTGTGGACACCTTCTCAGAGCCTGGTGAACTTGCTCCATTAATTACATATTCTATTTCTATATGTACCTGCTAGGAAGGTAAAAGCATCCCAGAGCTGAGATGGATTCCTTCTGGCATGGTGTTTTCCCAGTCTTACTGACTTAATTTGGTTGTGGTTGTTTCCATTTTCTTCCAAGAGCAATGGCTTAATGGCTCTGCTGTGCTGCTCACCTGCAGTGTGCAAGGAAGCAAGAAGTAAAAGATAAATGAAAAATTTGCCTTTAAATTGCATTATAGACTGGAGCAAATCAGTTTTCCTTGTTCTGTTGAGTCCACTATCCCTGAAATCCCACAGCTCCTGTTCAGCAGTCTTCCTTAAAGAGAGAACTTTTCTCTTCACCTTTTGTAGGTCAGTTACAAGAAATGTTTTCTCTGACAGGAAACCAGCTTTTCCCAGCCTCTCATTCATTTCTACTTTCAAGGATCCATTTATTCTGTTTTTCATTTCAGCACTTGCGAGCAGGATCAGAGAGGTGGCCTTGGATTAGAAAAGGCCCCAGGAGAGTTTGGGGGCTGTTGCTTCATAAATTGCACACTGGGGGCTGACAGCAAACACTGTTGTGGGGGACATGTTTGTGGGAGGACTGCATCTCTGCTAATGGAGTATCTCTGACAGACTGCACTTCAGTGTTTTCTGGAATTTTTCACATAGATTGTTCCTTGGAGCTAGATGAGAAAATAGTACAGTATTTCAAAATAACTGGCCCCTGGGAGATGAGAGTCCCCCAGCATGAATTATTAAAGCTCAGAGAGACTGTTCAGAAAAGTCAACATGAACCAGCGCATGGGGAAGGAGTATGCTGGAGAGAGCCCTTCGGTCCCCTGGAAGTTTCTCACATGTGGCAGAACAGCTCAAAGCAGCAGCTCTCTGATGGGATGAGAGACTCACATACGCTGTATCCCCAGGGCTCCCCATTCATTCAGCCACTAGCTCTGAGTCCAAATGATCCCCCAGCGTTGCTTTGGAATAATAAAGAGCAAGAAAGTGATACAGTGGAGGCTTCCTGTCTCTGAAGGCACTTGTGCTCTATAGGGCCAGTACCAAAACTGATAGAAATGGGAAAATTTCTGAGGAAATCTCTTAATTTTATTCAATCTCACAACTAAAGGCCCCCATTTGTTATAGGTGATCTGTGTATCCCCTGCAGGTGTCAATGAATGCTCGATGAACAACGGTGGCTGCTCACACATATGCAAAGATTTGAAGATTGGTTACGAGTGCGAATGCCCGCCTGGATACAAGCTTCTGGATAAAAAAACGTGTGGAGGTAATTGACATGCAAACAGCAGTCCCTTGTGTTTCACCATAGAGAGACGTGATTATATTCACTTGAGCATTGCTGCATCACAGATGGTTTGATTTCAAGTTATTGATGGGTTTCAAACACTCCTTTCAGACATAGATGAATGTGAGAATCCAGACGCTTGTAGCCAGATCTGCATTAATTACAAGGGAGACTACAAATGTGAGTGCTACGAAGGATACGAGATGGACACCCTGTCCAAGAACTGCAAAGCTGTAGGTAAGACAACGCCACAGGCACTAAAACTGCTTGCTCAACAGCGCAACTCCGCTAAGAAAACACGCTCGCGAGGCTGAGGCAGGGGAACGGAAACAAAAGGAAACACGCAAAGCAAGCAAAGACATTTCACTGCGAGCAGCACAGAGCTGCTGCAGCAACAGCAGATGCGTCTCTAGGCAAGAACTACTGATCATGCAGCTCAGAATATTTTAACAGTGTACAGAGCAAGATTGCAGTCACTACTTGGCTGTTTGAAGCTGAAACAAGAAAAGAAAGTCTCTTGACAGGTGTTATTGAAAACAGTGCAGCAAAAACATTTAGTGGTAGTAGTATTGAAAGAAAGAAAACATCCTGATTAAAACAGGGCAGCTGAGCCACCCCTCCACCCTCCCAGCTGTAAGTCACCAAAATCTGGCCCAGGATTTTTTGCTGAAATGAACTGAAGATGAGACCATTCCCCAGAGTTTTGCTTGCGGCTTAGCAGAACAGGCCAGTGCCAGAATGTGTCCAGGGACCACAGGGGTGCCTGCATGTGACAGCCCTGCCTCTGGAGCAAGTTTCCACTTGGTTCCAGTGTGGTGTAAAGCTTCTGTACAAACACAGCTATCAGTGACTGATAGTTCCACTGTTGCTTGAGAAATGAAAGCTGAACCCAGCCCTTGGGACAGCTGCTGAAGTGACAAATGTGCTGATTTTCTGTGGTAGGCAAGAGCCCGTACCTGATCTTCACCAATCGCCACGAGGTCCGTAAAATAGACCTGGTGAAAAGGGACTATTCCCGTATCATTCCCATGCTGAAGAACGTGGTGGCACTGGATGTGGAGGTGTCAACAAACAGAATATATTGGTGTGACTTGTTCTACCGAAAAATCTACAGGTAAGAGAGGATGTGTGTGTTGGTCCCTTCCCAAAGCTGCATTCCATCTGTATCCCCTTAAGCAGTCCAGAGAATAGTGCAGGGTACAGAGCACCTGAGGGCTTTTCTGCCTCACAGGATTTCCTGGTGTGGCCCAGACTTGGTAATCTTTTTTGGGAATTGATAAAGACATCAGAGGCTTGTGCAGTTCTCTCTTTGATAATACTGGGTGACTTTTCATCAATACCAGATCCTGCTGCAGTCGTGCAGTTAAATGTAGGCTCTTGTTTCCTGAACTATGGATGTTGCAAAGCAGGGCCCAGGCCGCTGCCACACTCCAAGTGTTTTATGGGAGGCCACAAAGCAGGTAAATGGTGGGAGCAAGGAGGCAGCAACACAGACACAAGCTGCTGCCCACTGTAGTCTCTGGTAGACTGGATTTAAATTCACAGCACCTGACCACAGTCCATGTTCTGTAACTCTCATTCTCACTCCTTCAGCTGTTTTTATAGCATCCATCACAATTATTATGTGCTGGGTCTTGTGAGTGTGCTTAGCCAAAAAAGCATTTAATTTATGTGCTGAAAATCCCCCGTGTATATTCTGATTTGCTATTGCTACATTGATACAGCTATTCTTCAGCTGTATCACTGCAGCTTCTGCAGTGGTTTGCTCTGGGTTTCAGATAATGATCAGGCACAGGCTGACTGGTGGCAACATGTGGGAGCCAGGCCAGGGTTTCTACAGGCTGTGGTAGTTCCCATGCCCTGCAGGGATATCTGCCGAGGCTGTGCTGGTATTGACCAGCAGTAGCTGGGCAGATACCCTGAGGGGCCTATGGGGCTCTGAAAGTGGGGGGATGGTTCAGAAGAAAGCTGTCAGCACTCACTAGGTCTATCTGTGCAAGGGCTGAGTTCATACAGAGAATTATCCAAGACACTGCTCCTGCAATTCTCCAACAGCAAATATGTTGGGAGTCCATGGGAACAAGCAGTCTGTGGTTGAGAGGCTATTGCAAGGTGAAAACTGTGATGCAGGAGGTAATCGCTGGCATGAGATCCCATCTTTCATAATGGTCACCTCACTTGTCTTTCCAGATCCTGTCCTGTTGATGTCTCCTTTGGGATATATAAATACTATACAGTACTTTTACAGTATTTACTTAGTGGGAAAATTGAAATGTCACTTGTACTTGAGCCCTTCCATTGTGGAAGCTGCAGGAGCCCCTTGGTTTTCCCTCCTGTGCAGGCATAGGCAGGAAGCAGGGAACACAACTGTCCTGCTGGAATACTGGAATCTTGGGAGCACTGCCAGATGCCCATAGAGCCCTGAGGTACCATTCCTGTGGTGCTGGGTCAGAGGCAAACCAAAACCATTCTTGTAGGGAAGATGCAGCAGTGTGCTGGTCATCCAGGCTGACTGTGCATGGCCATTCCAGCCCTGACTGCAGACTGTAAAACTGTCAGGAGTTCCTGGGTTTAGACATTTCGGTTCCAAGGCTCTAATCTGATATTGGAGAACTCAGCTCCCATACAATTCACCTTCTTATTCCATGAGCAAAGGCAGGATGGGCAGTGAAGAGAGGATGTGAAGCATCTTACGATTTCAAATGTTTGGGGTAAGAGACAGAAACTTCCTGCTGTTTTATAACTGTTTTAAGCTGTACTGAGTTATTCTAAGAGCCAGACAAAGTTTCTACAAACACTGATGCAAACTCAGAATAACTAAATTCAGCTCACTCAGCAGAATTGATATTGAGAGCAGAATCAGCCTGTATGGTTGTAGGAGCAACATTCCAGTTATTTATGAAACATCCATGTGGAGTCTGCTGCCTTTCGTTATCGTTTTGAAAGATTTTGAGGCTGCCACTAATATTTAGTGAACATTTTGTTTGTATCTAGTGAAATAACTTGCCAAATTAATGCAGCTTCATGAATTTCTTTGACGAATCACAATTAGCTACACAAGTCCTAATTCTGTGGTACATATAAGCACATTTATTGCATGCTCAGTTCAACCCTGTTCAGCAGAGCCCTGGAGATTATATTTTTAATGTTCATAAATCCCACAAATCAATGCTGTTGAAGTTAACATGCATGAAGTCAAATGTTTTCCTGAATTGTACAGTTACAGTAGGAAGCAGGTAGAAGGATGAAAGGAACAGCTCCCTATGGTGGAAATGCTGCCATATGGGAAAGGGGAAATAGGAGGCTGCAGGAGAAAGCAGAAGGTTGCAGGAGCACCATAAGGTTACCATAAGGTACATAGGAGGCTGTAGGAGAAAGCAGAAGGTTGCAGGAGCACCATAAGTTTCCTGTGTCAGGCACGCTGCCCTGGGGGCCCAGCTGTGGGAGCCCTGTGGGAGCTCTGTGACCTGTCCCTGCAGCGCCTACATCGACAAAGCGAGTGACACGGCCGAGCAGGTGATCCTGATCGACAGCCAGCTCAACTCCCCCGAGGGACTGGCCATTGACTGGGTCCATAAGAACATCTACTGGACAGACTCTGGAAACAAAACCATCTCAGTGGCCACTGCAGATGGAAGAAGGAGGAGGACACTTTTCAACAGTGACCTCAGTGAGCCCAGAGCCATTGCTGTGGATCCCACACAGAGGTAGGTGTGAACACCACAAACACCCCTTCGCCAACAGAAACATTCCAGTCACCTTTTTGCCCTTCTGACAAACTTGGGGGTAGTTTTCATCTCACCAAGACCTCAGATGCCCTTTAAGATATACCCTGCAATGGGACTGTGGAAATGCTTTAACTAACCCTTGGCAAGGTCGCTGCTGTCAAAGACAGTTCAGAGCCAGTTCATGTGTTCAGTGGGCCTGAGCTGGTCTTGGCACAGGCTGTGCTGGGAAATGCAGCCTGTCTGACCTGTGTTTGGGCTGTTTGGATGAGTGAATGCCAGGTACCTAACAGGCACAGCAGGAGAGTGTCCAGGGGTTAGTTACTGGGGTGAGATGCTGCATTCTGGTGCAAGTTTTGTGGCAGATTCCCCAGTGGGAGAACTGCATATGGTTCCACCAGCAGAAGTAACTGCTGTAATATGGAGAGAACCTTAGGGCACCTCCTACTGCAGTCAGAAGTGCAGGTTTCTTAACTGGAGTCCAGGTTATTCCTTTCTTACCTCTGCCTCTCAGGTTCATGTATTGGTCTGACTGGGGAGACAAAGCCAAGATTGAGAAGGCCGGTCTGAACGGTGTGGGGCGGCAGGTGCTGGTCACCGACAACATCGAGTGGCCAAATGGCATCACACTTGGTAAGTGCCCAGGGCAGAGCTACAGCACCCACTGGGGCTGAAGGAAATCTGGTTTTATTGCTGAGCAGGAAAACAAAATCATAACTGCTCAAAGGCACCTGTACACACGAATCCTAAACTGGTCTGTCACTACTGCTCATGAACATGAGTTCCCTTATTTCAGCAGCACAAATAGGAAGTCTTGCTGCAGTCAGAACCTCATACTGCAGGAGCCTTAAGTTGTTTGTCATTGTGCCCTAAGGCAAGAGGAAATTTTGGGGGAGGATGCAGAGCTGTGACAACCCTCTAGAAGACTGAAAAGCTTTTGAATCCTTGGTGTTAAATGTCTCTGTACCTGGGCTGTCTCACTGCAGGAGCAGTGTCAGGATCCTGCACTGAACTGATGAATGATGCACAGTGTATCAGGGAAAGGAACAGGGCCTGCAGAACCCATTCCCTGTCACCATTCCTTGTCTGCCCAGCTGCTAATGGCAAATGGAACCCTTCAGAGGGCTGTGGTGGTTCTCAGCGCCACACCAAGCAGCAGAGTGGGAAGGAGGTTTCATGGAGCAGCAGGGAACATCCTGCTCTGGAGTTGGAGCTGTGTGTGTTTAACACCATGTAGATGTGAGGTTCTCTGCTTGGCTCTGAAAATGGTGGCTGTAGCGAGGATGGAGGAGGAAATGCTGCTGCCATTACATACTGCTGAAGTGCTACTGCTGTGAACAAATGTTATCATTTAGTAATTAAGAAATTAATTAATGACTTATTTCATTATATAACTTGTTTTATTGGCTCTCATCCATTTCACTTGCATTCTGTTCAGTGAATCCCATCCAAAATGAGTGAATTTGCTCTAGAAAGATAAATGCAGTGCTTAGCATTCCAAATAACACTGGATCCTTTCCTCCCACTTTTACCTGCCCAAACCTGGCTGGTTGTGGTAGGACTGTCCCCACCAGCAGATTCCCCCAGCCTGCAGCATAAGAAGGGTTTTTGGGCCCAGGATTCTTCTTCACTGAAAATGTGTGAATCTCACAGCTCCTTCCAGTAGTTCTCCAGCAAGAGTCCAAGGGCCAGACAACCTTGGGAGGGATGAAGCTTCTCACTCAGGCACTAGTGGAGAGAATCTGGGAAGCCCAAACTGCTGCTCCCCTGCTGCTCCTGGTAACAACAGAACCACATTGTACAAGGCTGTCAGTCAGGCATTCCCAACACACAGAGCAGAATGTTCCTCCTTTTTAATCTTATTTACAGGGTCTTATCCCAGCATATCTGGGCATTGATTCAAAATCAGAACTACTGTTAAAAAAAAAGAGGCCAAATAATAGAGAGATTAGTCATGCTGCCAGCAGGAAAAACATGCTGGGCAAGAGCAAAATAGTTGCAAGAGTTGTCTAATTTTGCTTCATTGTGGTTTACTTTCCAGATTTGCTGAATCAGCGTCTCTACTGGGTAGACTCCAAATTGCATTCACTGTCCTGCATTGATTTCAATGGCAGCAACAGAAAAGTTCTGATCTCCTCTGTGGATGATCTGAGCCATCCTTTTGGCTTGGCAGTGTTTGAGGTAAGAATGGAAAACGGATGCAGAGCAGACTTGAGCCTGTAAGAGGTCTCAGAGCTCTTCTTGATTAAAGGCTCTGCCTTTTGCACAGCACAGAGCTCGGTGAGGGCAGTCGCTGCTACAGAAACCGATTAACCTCGTGTGGGTTCAGCAGGGAAATTATTTTTTAAAGCCCTTCATCAAGAGCAAAGTGTTACCTGATGCTTCCACCTAATGCAGCACCAGTGCATTAAATGATCAGGGGAACAAAGGCTTCAACTTTTGGCACTCACTGTAGTAAGCTGTAGCAGAGAAAGGTCCAGTTGGCTTCTGGCTCAGGAAAACCATCATCCTTAAATCCCTTATTCCTCCTATGTGAAACGTGTGATATCTGAGCATCTGATTTTTGGCATAGGTTTCTCCAGGTCATTGTTGCTCTTTAGTGCTATCCCTATCAGCAGCATCAGGAAGGATCTCTTAGGTTATTTCACCTCTCTCCATCCTTCCTGGTATTAATGGCTGGGTGGAATAACAGACAACCCTTTTGCTTTTGCTAAGCACTTTTTTGCTAAGCCCTTGTTGTCCAGTAGTGTGGCTTTCCTTACAGAAATACACATGGGTTTAGGAGGCAGCAGCACACACAGATGACCAAGCACTTAAACTGTTGGTAACTGTGATTCCTGGGTACCTCTTCCACCATTAGTTCTGTTATCTTCAGTCACACTATGACATGCAAAAGATATTAATATAAAAGAGAAATAGGTGCTCAGCTTCCAGGTGTGCTCCAGGCACTGGCCTCTTCACAGAGCCCTGTTTAATGCAGATATTATCTTGGGAAAGGAGGAAAAAATCAGCAAGGTAACAAATGTTTCTAGTACAGAGTGTGGCCCTTTGCTCAAGATCTACCCCAGCTTAAGCAGCTCAGAAACAACACAGATGCAACTTGTCTGTACCTTACCCTCCCAGAGCTACTCAAAATTACACAGCACTCTGTAAACTTGTAGGAATGCTGAGCTTTTGAACATTGTTCAAAATAGAAAAAAGCTGCAGACAGAAGTAGCATGAACAAAAGGTGCCCCAAGGTAGGAACATGGGGCACTGACTTTGTGACTACTGGAGTTTAATCCAACTCAAGTGGGATTTGAGCAGGCCAGGTCAGGAATCTGTGCATTCCCTGCAGGACAGAGTGTTCTGGACTGACCTGGAGAACGAAGCGATCTTCAGTGCAAACAGGCTCAATGGCTTGGACATCTCCATCCTGGCAGAGAATCTCAATAACCCTCATGACATCGTGGTGTTTCATGAATTAAAGCAGCCCAAAGGTAAGAGGTGTCCTCAGGATGTCATGGCCCTGAATCAGGTTTGTTTGAGCTGGCAAATGAAATGCTCCCTGATAGTTCTTGATGAGAGAGAATGCACAGGTAATAATGGGAAATCAATGCCTAATGTTTGAAGTTCCTGCATAATTAATTTAGCAGTAGCATTTACTGAAGAATCTGCAATTTGCTAATAGCTGTTTAATTAGCATCTTTGATAACAGTGAGTTACTCTTGTCACTGTGATGCTTCCCATTCATTATGTATTTGGGAAGTTTTTATTGTATTTTGTAAGGTTCCACTCCACCGTACAAACTGGAAAGATGCTTGAGCAGCCTGATAAATTGAGGTAGGGAGTGGGAGAAGGTCTTTTCAGAGGATCTGATATTTCTTTGCCAAGGGCAAGAAATAATTAATTAGAAAAATAACTTGTGTTTTCTTCCATCCTTGAACAGCTCCAGATTCCTGTGAGCTCAGCCCCCAGCCAAACGGAGGCTGTGACTACTTGTGTCTTCCTGCACCTCAGATCTCTCCCCACTCCCCCAAGTACACGTGTGCTTGTCCTGACAATATGTGGCTGGGTCCTGACATGAAAAAATGCTACAAAGGTAAAAACAATCACATCTCCATTTCACTGTCCAAACAAAATCATACTTAGAGTGAATATGTTTCCTGATGGTGAAAACACAAACACCAACTTCTGTATTCCACTCCTTGCTTCCCTCTGAGCCCAGCATCACTGTGGTGTCCTTTGCTGAAAGCTTGCTTATTTTGGAAAGCTTAACCAGAAAAAGATACAGCAGGAAGGGGGGAAAAAGGGCTAGGGACCAGCACTAAAACTTACAATAGTCAATAAACCATTAAAATTGATTACTCATCTATTGATATATTATTTAATCTATATATGCAATATATGCTTATATGTATATATACATAAGTATATGTGCAATATATTTACATATATTTAGATATTTATATATCTACCTATTGACAGGTATCAGGTCTGGAGAGGCCACAGTTGTTGCTGATAATATCCTGAAGAGATGAGTGGCTTCATTGTAGTTTTTCCTAGCATGCAATGAGTTCCTGGTTAAAATTCAGAATCTTAGGAGGTTCTCAAAAACTCCCCAAATTTGTGAACTTCTTAGCTGCCTTTAATATAGAGTGCTTTTTTAATTAGTATTAATGAATCAAGCTTGACTTCAGGAAATAATTTCTGTAGCTTTAGGCAGAGAACTCTCGATAGTTTGACTGCCTGGGAAATAGAATTGGAATTTGGTTTCTGCTTCTCTTCATTAAACATAAGAGTCCTTCCTAGATTTTTCTCACCATTTTTGATTTGTTTGGTGTACTTGCTTTACCCAAATTTCATTGTTGCTTTTGGTTTCCAGATCTTCCAACCACTGCAACTCCTGTAGTGGTTTCCACAACCACAGCGTCCCGTGCTGATGGCACCACGACCATTGCAGCTGTACCTGGCAGTGCCAATGACACCACTGAAGTCGTCCCCAAAGCTGTACCAGAAGCTACAATCACCACCCCCAGTCTTCATTTACCTTCCACCACATCCATCCTGATAGATTCTGAGATGACCACTGGAAACAGCAATTTATCACAGCACTGTAAGAGAATGACATTCCTTTTCTTCTTCTTCTATATCACTTGTCATGCACTGGTGGGAGACCTGACCTAATGTCTGAGTTCCAGAGGGGTCAGGTGCAGGCACACCCTGGTGCACAGCAGGAGACATCAGCTTCTCTCTGCAGGCACCTGGGTTAGGATGGCTGCTGTCATTCCATCACTTGGCATGTCAAGGAACTTTTATCAGCTTTTATCCAAGGCACATGAACAGCCCTGAGAGTTCACATCAGCCCTTGCCTTGTGCCCAGTACTGGCTCATCCCAGCTTCAGTGCTGCAGACAGCAGAATGGATGATTCTGCAGCTGCTTCACCTATTTTAATTGTTTACTTATTAATGTGATCCAGCACAAGTTCTGGGTGAAAAATTGCCCCTGTGCATCTTTAGTGCTGCTGGACACATGGAATCACTGCAGCCCAAGACAAGCTGTTTCTGGTTTGTGTGGCCGTGCTTGGTGTGTTAATGTGGCCTCATCATGACACAGGTTTGAAGTTTTGCATTATTTATCAGAAGAGCACCCCAGTGGAGAGCACTGATAGGCTCTCCTCAATGAACACCAGCCTCCATCTCAGAGCTAACAGGCAATTCCTCCAGGTCCTGCTGCCAAAGCACAGCAGAAAGGTTGAACTGCTGTTCAAAAAAAAATCTAGTCCAGAGAGAAGATTTTGCTCTGCAAGACCTCAAACAGACATGTATGTTTAAAAACAGTAAAATGCTGCTTTCCCCCTCCTTAGGGCAATTTTTTTCCTGGTTTAGGGCAAATTTGGGAGAAAACCTCCGAATGGAATCGTTCTAAAATGCACATTTAAGCGGCCCCTCCCCCAACTGGTTCCCAGAAAGATTTCCTTGCAGAAAAGTGGGAAAAACTGTTCATTTAACAAGCAAAGTATCTACAAGCATAAAAAACAATAATACTATTAAACAATAAAACCTCTCGCTGTTGGAAGAGATGGCAAATTCAGAAAGTCCTTGCCGTGGGCTGCAGCTCAGTCTCTTCTCGGTCCCTCCGGCGCTGCAAAGTGCCGAGGCCCAGGCCCCGCTGAGCCACAGGTGGGAGCTCCCAGGGTTGTCTGGGTTTGCAGTCCAGAGCAGGCTTGGAAAGATCCAAGGAAAAAGGAAAACACCGTCCGGGGAATTTCTCAGCCAGCTAAACAATAACTAAACGCTGTGTCCGTGCTGCAGACAGCACAGGCCGGAGCGGGGCGGGGTGAGCGCTGTTTCTCAAAACAAACCGCGGCTTCTTTTGTCCCTCCCCTTCGCTCCGGAGCCGCTTTGAAACGTGCAGAATTCAATATCCAGCAGAAACAGAACGGACCATTGGGGATACGAACAGCAGAAAGTCAGCCCAGGAAACCACAAATGTTTCACTGTTTCCATGACGTGTGGAAAGCAGCAGTGCACCGCCCCTGTCTGTAGAACCGTGCTGTGCAGAAAGCTCAGTCCAAAGGCTAAAATGCATTCAGTTCCCTTTATGCAAGTTTCTTTCAAATGCAGTAATTACCTTTTTATTATGTCATGGAAGCAAGGTGCTTTTATTGCCCACTTTGGAGAGAGTCTGGCTCGTTATTAAGTAAATAATTATGTCATGGAACAGCCTGCCACAGGGGAGTATTTAAAAGTTGCATGAACTGGTGTATCAAAAGAAAAAGAACAGTTAGTTCCTCCTCTTGCAACTCCTGATATTTTAGAAAAAGTAAATTTTCTCTACTGATAAGCTATATGAGAGCTCAGAGCGAACATTTTAAAGTATAGAACTTGAAAGGTTATATTGAATTTTTTAAAATTATATTTTCCTGTAATTGTTTTTTTCTCTTATAAGTACACTGTTGAGTTTTGGGACCATCCTTGCATGGGCAGGCTGCAGCAATGAGGGATAGATGTGTTCACTAACTCCTCAGCTGTAAATAATAAAAAGGGAAAAATTAAACAGAGAAACTGTTCAGATGGCTTTGAACTACGTTCTTTTTCTGACAGCTCAGTAAGGCATTAATTGTGTCAGTACTAGAAAGTGTTCTGCTGTGGATTTTTAGGAGTGCTATTCACCATCCCCTGATCCCTGCATTCCATTTCCATTAAATGTCAAGTTTTTAAAACTGGCCTCCTTTTTTGTGCCTGAAAGTCGGAGGCCCAAGCACAGTCACCCATTTCTGGTCAGAGTTTCTCTGACAGCGCTGCACGGAGCGTGTCCCTTCAGTGGCCTCAAGCTGTCGCTGTCCCCGGCTGCTGCAGGGACCTCGCTCCTCAGGAGCAGCAGCTCAGCTCAGCCCACATCTGTGTGCACTGCTCCGTGTGGCCAGAGTAATTTTAGTATGAAACTTTTTGTAAATTCTTTAATTGCAAAAGCTTTCTGATGGGCAGAGCAGCACGGGTACTAACAGAAAACATCCTTTAAAAGCAGCAAACGAGTTAAATAATCAGAACACTTCTGTAATTACAGATGCAAATGATGATGAAGGCTTCGGTTCAACTGTGACAGCAGCTGTGATTGGAATTGTCATTCCTGTGGGTAAGGAGATGGGATTTAACCTTGAAGGAGATCACACCAAAATGCAATACCAAAATATTATATTTACCACAGTAAATACATTAGTATTGTATTAAAAACCCCTAGTTTTCAGGGGTGGGGTGGGAAAGAGTGCAGGAACTGTTGGGGTAAAGTAGCCCAGCTTTGAGAAAATGTTATGAGGATGGCTGCCAACATGGGAACATCCCAGCAGATCCACGCCTGCCTAACAGCCCATTCTCTCCCCTCTCCTCAGTGGTCATTGGCTTGCTGTGCATGGGGGGATACCTCATCTGGAGAAACTGGAAACGGAAGAATACTAAAAGCATGAATTTTGATAATCCAGTTTATAGGAAGACAACAGAAGAGGAAGATGAAGACGAAATCCACATTGGGCGAACTGCCCAAATTGGACACGTGTACCCAGCAGTAAGTACCTGAGGAGATGGCTGATGGAGAGGATTAATTCAGAATTAATTAATTAACTGTATTAATTAATTAACTGTATTAATTAATACAGAATCTGGATTAATGTTGCGTATTTGCCACATAATGACAAAAACCAGAACTTTTTTGTTATCATTGATTAGGCAGAAGCCTAAACTTGTGGCAGCCCATGCAGTTGTCTTAGAATTTAGTGCTCTGGATCAGATACTCTGTTCAAATGAAGAACAATTGTCCTAATCAAGCTACCAATCTGACAAATGTAAAACTGCCCCAAGAGTTCCCTCAGGATGGGACAGGAGATTACTCATCCTCTACTGCATTCCATTATATCTGTGCTTAGGCTGCTACCAAGTGTCCAAACTATTGTAAGGATAAATTTGAGTTTCTCTACAAACCAGGGAGAACATTTTCTCGACAGTAACAGTATAAAGAAAAGTCACATTCCTCACAAGGAGAAGTGAATGAGGTTCTATTAGAAGTTAAGGAAAAGGATCCTCCATCAGAGCAGCATCCCTGGGGAGAGGAGCACTGGCAATTTTCTTCTGAGTGTAGGCAATACAGCCCCTGTAGGCAGGCAGGTGGGTGGATAATGTCCTCTGTCATTTAAAAGTCCCACACAAGATCACACTGGAGAAACTGCCATCCCTTACAAGGAATTTTATCCAACATACATGGGCAGGAAACTTCCCAGCACTCTTCAGTAACACTTGAGCAAGTGACCTTATTTGGGGAGGGAAAAAATCACTATCTAGAATGGACTTGTCACCAGTACAGCAGGGATAACCATGAGAGTTCTAACAGGAAATACAAGCTAGCACCAGTATCACAGCTCACAAAGGTATGTTTTTTTCCTCCCCAGCGTGTAGCATTAAGCTTAGAAGATGATGGATTGCCATGAGGATGAAGATGCTGCTCCCATCATCTGAACACTGAACAAATCTGCTTTGGACCACAGAACCTGCTTCCTCTTTTTGATCGTTATTTATGTTGCAGAAGGGTAACCACAAAGTTATAATGAACTGCAAACATCCAAAGGATGTGAGAGTTTTGTATGTATAATCTTTTATACACATTTTAACTTGTTGCACTACCCATTTGTGATAGTGAATAAGCAACAGCTGAGCTACTAACTCAATGTACATAACCAGCCAGGCTGAAGGTTCAGTAGCTATTGCTTTATTTTAAGACTATATTTATAGATATTTTGTAAATATGTTGAATATGCTTTGTGGCTATCCATCAACATAAGTAAAATAAATTCTGTACAGGCAGTTTAGAAATATTTATTAACAAAATCTGGATTATAAACTCTGTTCTGTAAATATGGTAGAGGAGTGAGAGTATTTATTTTTTGTATGTTTGGCTTGCTGTGCATAGATTATCTGTGTATATATCTATCTGGACAAGATAGATATATAGGCATATATATATATACATATATATAAAAATATATACATATATTTTAAAACTACTAGCCTACATTTATGAAAATTAGGGATAATTGAGTTTTTACAGGATGTTTGAGAAGTTTGCTTTGAAATCTAAAGATACTATGTAAGAAAGAGCTGTAGTGTAAGATAGCTGACCAGTGAAGCACTCCATAACAAACAGCTCCTGATTCCCATCCTGGCTCTTAAGGGCTGCTTTTACATTTTCCAGTCTATCCATGAAGAATCCATGCAGTGCATTTAACTGGAGAGCTATTGCCTACAGCATTTCAGTCAGGAGAAACTCCTACAGCACCCAGGGTTTTTGTGTTGTATTGTTGCTTTTTTACAGCTTGGTTTTTGTTCATTTGTTTCTAAATGTAAATCTAAATGTTTTCCAGCACTCTCAAGTGAGTGCTTGCCCTGGTTTTTCGGGAAAAATAACAAACAAAAGTCACTTCCTTACTTCCTTGCCTTTGTCCCCTGTTCATGCTGACAAAAAATCTAAGCTTAGGAGCTGCTGTGGCACGCGCAGAACTCTTCCACAGTCCTTCCCATGGCAAGCTGCCCACGGCAGGGCTCCAGCAGCACAGCACAATGGGCAAGGAAGCCAGAGCAGGTTAAAAACACCCAGCCTTTCCAGTGTCTATGGCTGGGTCATCCTGCACCTGGCAGGAAAAACACTTTGTTTTTCTTATCTTGTTCTCCTGGGAATTCTGTGAGAAGTGAGCTTACCTCCCACTGCATAATGGACTGGTACCTCCCTGAACTGTACCAAATCCCAGAGAAATCTTCCTCATGTTTTTATGTCAGTCCAAGCTTTTGTATTTGAGTAGAAGAAACTCAGGCTGAGTAGGTTTGGATTTTTTTTCCTTTTGTTTTCCTTTATTTTAGAATAAATTTACAGAGTAATGTGAGCTGGAAGCTGATTCTTGACTAAGAGAAGGAAAAAATTATGTAAAGCCCTGGTATGCATTACAGACATTATACATACTCTCAAATGCCTCATGGCCTGCACAGTCAATACAGAATTAATCAAGCATCCTTCTATTCTAAATTTTAGATTTTAAGGCAGTGACAAAATGAGATATCCCATTGTTTTAAGGTATAAAGCTCTTTCTACAAATCCATGCACTGTGTGCATGAAGAAAAAAGCTGAGAAAGGCTGTGTGTGATAACACTGTAACTAACAGACGAATGTACATATATATGAAAGTTCTACAGTTTTGATACTTTTTTAAGAACACACAAACCAACCTGTACAAACCATGTGTAAAAGACTGCAGGTTTTTTCAAACCATTGTAAATGAACTCAAGATGCAGTGCTGATTTCAACCTTTACAGATTTATAACTACTGAGAATCAAACACCAAATTTGTTTTTTAAGAAATTAATTATTTTAAATAATGGTTCAGATTGGTAGGGTGATATTTAACATCGTAATAATTTCTGCTCTGTCTTGTCATACTGAAGTTCTGTTAGAGTAAGTTCTTGCTTGGTGCCTTTTGTGTTTCAGTTCTTACCTTCCAGACAAAAGGCCCAGGGAGGGGCGGGGGGCTCTGTGTAACACTTGCTGTACTGGAAACCAAATGATCACGTTTGTAAAACAGTGCACTGTTTCTATAGAAAGATTAAATTTTTTTATCTGGGATTACTGAACTGATTTCTTCATGGTGTCTGAAACGGGACTGTATCATACTTTGGTCTGAGTTTTCCCTAATTGTTTATTGCCCAAATCCAGAGTGGGATGTGGGAGCAGTGCTGCGTAAGGATGGTGCAATATTCAAAACAGCGCTTTGTTCTGAATTATCTTTTTCTGCCACGTTGATTTTGGTCATCTGAAAATCACATGGAAAACAGCACCAGTTTCATTTCCTCGAGCTGAATAATTCCATCAGTGATGCAGCCAAGTAAAACTTCCTGTTTTTTGTTGTACACCAGTCCTTACCCAGCGTGAGAAAATGTCCCAGAACTGAACAGTGCTCACTACACAACTGGTGGGGTTTTTAACCTGAACTGGCACATGCTGGACTATTCAACAGCTAATTGTGAATGACTCAGTTTCTTCCTCAAGCTTTTGGTAAAACATCTACAGAAGCTGCAGAACTCCTTAGAGCCACACTTACACCCTCCTCTTGAAAAAAAAAAGACAGAAATACTGCTATTTCTGGAATCTCAAGAGGCAGGCTCAACTTCTTTTCTTTTAACCATACAAACATTCCCTCTCATGGAAATGAAGGCAGAAGAAGGTTCTCAAAGTATGACAGTAGTTCTGGCTGGACACATAAGTGACTCAGCACTAACAGTTAGCTTGCTCTCTCTTCCCTGTCTCTTGAAAAAAGGAAATCCTGGATAATACAATATAATACAACCTTTCCCCATCCCATGTTGTTCAAAGTCCTTGGAAGCAGTGCAATTACTGAAATTCTCTTTCAGTCAATTCTTGGTACCAAAGGAAGCAGCCAAGCAAGTAAAACTTTTCAGGCAAAGAATTATTACCAAACTAATATGGACTGATGTACTGGTAAATATCAGTGGTTTAGTTTTCTATATAACTGGAAATAGGTTTTTCTTACTTCAAAACATTCTTCCTTTTCATTTAACTATTTTGGCAAACTAATATGGTAACAAAGAGAAAAAGTGAAACAACAAAATTCTCTCCAGGTCTAAACAGCAAAGACAGCACAAAAAACTGAAAGACCCTCATAAGAAAGTCCCAAACGTACCTGGGCGTTAAGATGTGTGCTAGCTTTGCATTAATTAATATTTAATAAAAAAGAAAATCTGCCTACAGAAATTATTTTTCTGAAAAAAGCTACTCAGAGCTTCTTTTGTGCCTAGAAAAACTAATAGCTAATTTTAAGAACTGACAACTGATTAAACTATTTAGAAGTTAGATCTGTCTCTGTGAGATCTATATTTTAAAAACAAATAAGTCTAATGTGAAAAAAGACATTCAGTGTTCTGGTAAATTTTAAAAGGTTTAATAAAAAAGACAATAGGAGACAAAGACAATAAAGCAGAGGGTTAAAACGGCTGGGTGGTCGGCATTCTGCCAAGAGCACCCCTGCTGCTTTGGAAACATCCTTTATATTCCGTTTCTATTGCATCAACTTGATGCTTATTCACAGACTTTATGCATATTCAAACTTTTCTATTAACTAATTTATATTTTCCAGGTGCTGTTTAGCACGGCCACTTCCTGGGTCACCTTTTTAAAGCATGTGTGTTTCTTGGCTTGTGGTTTTAATCCTCTTCTTACCGCCTTTTAATTTGAGCTTGGCTCCTCCTTTCCACAGACAGCGAGTGTTGATAAACAGCAGGGTCCCCATCATCTGTTCACTGAATGTTATCCTAACTAAGCAGGCAGTTCAAACGTACTATATCGACAATTACAGCAAAGCCATTTTAGCATTAGACATAGGGCATTCATCTTAATACTTTCCAAAAGCCAGTATTATACTATGTATCTGTAACACTAAGAAAGCTTTCTTTTGGCTTCTGGCCTTGAACAGGTAACTGGGGGCTGGCCTGGCGGGGCCGGGGCGCTGCTGCGGCGCTCGCTCTTTTCGGGAGCCCGCAGGGTTGTGTTCGGGAAGAGTGGCCGGGGACCCTTCCCCAGATCCTTCCCAGCGGGGCCGAGCTCTTTTCGGGAGCCCGCAGGGTTGTGTTCGGGAAGAGTGGCCGGGGACCCTTCCCCAGATCCTGCCCAGCGGGGCCGAGCTCTTTTCGGGAGCCCGCAGGGTTGTGTTCGGGAAGAGTGGCCGGGGACCCTTCCCCAGATCCTGCCCAGCGGGGCCGAGCTCTTTTCGGGAGCCCGCAGGGTTGTGTTCGGGAAGAGTGGCCGGGGACCCTTCCCCAGATCCTGCCCAGCGGGGCCGAGCTCTTTTCGGGAGCCCGCAGGGTTGTGTTCGGGAAGAGTGGCCGGGGACCCTTCCCCAGATCCTGCCCAGCGGGGCCGAGCTCTTTTCGGGAGCCCGCAGGGTTGTGTTCGGGAAGAGTGGCCGGGGACCCTTCCCCAGATCCTGCCCAGCGGGGCCGAGCTCTTTTCGGGAGCCCGCAGGGTTGTGTTCGGGAAGAGTGGCCGGGGACCCTTCCCCAGATCCTGCCCAGCGGGGCCGAGCTCTTTTCGGGAGCCCGCAGGGTTGTGTTCGGGAAGAGTGGCCGGGGACCCTTCCCCAGATCCTGCCCAGCGGGGCCGAGCTCTTTTCGGGAGCCCGCAGGGTTGTGTTCGGGAAGAGTGGCCGGGGACCCTTCCCCAGATCCTGCCCAGCGGGGCCGAGCTCTTTTCGGGAGCCCGCAGGGTTGTGTTCGGGAAGAGTGGCCGGGGACCCTTCCCCAGGTCCTTCCCAGCGGGGCCGAGCTCTTTCCGGCCGTGCTGTTTCCAGCAGCGCCGCCGCCGCTGGGCTCGCCGGAAACTGCCGGGCCGGGAGGACAAGCCATCGGCCTGCCCAGCTCCAGCGATCCCTGCTGCTCCAAAAACCGAAACCACTGCAGTATGCCTCCCAAAACAACTACATTTTTAAACTATTTATGCGTTATTTGTGCAAATTTAAATTAATCGGTATTGTCCCCAGAAGGTGGCCTGTATGCCTCGCAGGGCTGAACGTGGATTTCTCATCCCAACTTCCGGAAGAACTCGACAAGCACCAGTCCAGGCCGAGTTCTGAGCTTTTACAGGAGGGCAGTAATGCTAACCTGTATCTGCACCAGCAAGCAGAATGAGAATTAACATGCTTTTAAAAATGATACTCTTTTTTTCACATTATTTGCAGCATTCAAATCTCCATGTACCTCAGTGGGAGAACACTCCGTACGGGATTAGCCGCAGCTGCCTGCTAAATTCCCCACACATCAAGGAAATCACTGTAATCTTGTCAGTGGTGATAAGGCAGTACCTTAGTGGGGAGCTGAAGCTGTGTCAGTGAAACAAGCAAATCTCCCAGATAGTTGTAGGCCCCTGCCTGGCTCCAAGGACGATGTACACAGGATTGCACAAGGCTGGACTGATAATTTTGTCTTCACATCAGTTCAGTTCTTCAGCCCTTGCCTCAAGGCTACAAAGTCAGGTGAAAGAGGAGAGATTTTACCTACAGTTCTTGGCCAAGTACAACTGAAGCCACATAGCAAAGACAATCCACATTACCCTGTTCAGGACTTTATCTGCTGAGTCTACCAATCAAAGAATCAATTAGTTCCAACTGCAGTAATTTATTTTCATGCATATATTCCCCCACTGGGACTCAGCTAAAAGCACACACATTAATTTAATTCAAGCCATTACACATAAAAGATGACGGAAAGCCTTACAACCAAACATTCAAGAAAAATCCCTGAATCTACATACTTTACTATTAAGGCACAGACCTAAGTAAATTCTAAGCAAAGAGAGCACCTTGAAATGAAAAATAAACAATATTTGGAAGATAATATTTACATCTAAGTTTCATAGAGAGAAATTCTCTTACAAAGGCTAAAGTTGGCTTCTAGACTTCCTGTAATGAAAAGCCAACTCAAAATGATTGGAAATTGGCATTGGTTTTAGCAATATCTGAAATGGGTGTCACATTAAAAGCCTTACCTCATGAACTGACTTCGTATTACTTTGACCCTAAAGGCATCAGTGGCAACAGAAGTTATGAAGAAGTTAAAACTTTCTCAATTACATCAGTGGCTGGCAGCCTGCAGAGGAGCAAGTTAGCAGAATCTCTTGCTACAGAGGTCTTTGCAGCAAAGGCCAAATTAAAACTTTTTTTTTTGCCCTTTTGGACTTCAGCTGACACGTGCTCCATTCCAGTGCAGTGAGGCATCAACTTTCCAAACTACATCTCTCCTTGTTTGTTCCTTTTTTTTTTTTAAAGGTGATTTAAGAATTTTCCATACAGACCCTAATAATAAAAACCTACTTTGTCTCCTGCAGACTAAAGGACAAAAACAAGGGCTTGGCTCAATCCCCAAGGACAGTTACAGTTGTTCCTTTGCCTAGGCTATGGCTATGCCCAGGACATAAATAAGCAGTGATGCTTTAATCATTACAACTCACATGCACAACCACCAAATAAAGAACATTTTGGTATTTTCTTCAGTCATGTTGTCAGTTTACAGAAGCTCTTAGAACTACAATATTTGCTGCACAGAGAGGTTGTAGCTTCTCCATCCCCAGAAGCATTCAAGGCCAAGTTGGAATATCCTAGTCTAGTGGAAGACATCACTGCCATGGCCGGAGGTTGGAACTAGATGATCTTAAAGGTCCTTTCCAATCCAAACCATCCTAGGATTCCATGAATATTTAAGGCACCAAGATGATTAAACTAGAGAACATATGATATTCAAAGTATGATCACTGGCCTAGAATAGACTCTAAGTAACGCAAATATACACAGATAGGGATGCACCCCAATCCCAATTTATACACAACCAAAGACACGGGCCATCTGCAGACCTAGATAAATTAATTGAGAAGCTGTGACAGGACCATATGATAAGGGTGTGTTGTTTGTAACACATTACTCTGGACTTTCAGCTACACTATGCCTGGAATTAGCCACAGTTATGGTTTCCCATAGCAACAGGATATACAGGACAAATCACACAGGGAAACCCAGCTGAACAGGAGCTGTACTTCCCAGGGTGAGCCAAGACAGGTGTTCCCTTGGAAATCAGGAAAGTGAAGCATGGCTCCTCTACGCGTATCTGCAATACTTCTTGAATTTAGTCAAAATGTACCCCTTTCATAGCAGCTGGCATTTTTCCACTCCCACACTGCTTCAGACCTTGCAGAGAAGCCTGGTGAACCCAAAGAAGGATGGACTAAACCCACTCAACTTTCAAACACCTGCTCACACCTTGGCCAAAACACAAACGAACATCAACATTTACACTTATGTATTAATGTGATGCAGAATTATCTCCCTCTTCCCTCAGGGACCTGTGTGCCATCTGTGTGACCTACACAGGCAGGCTACAAAGAGTACCATTTAATCCTAAATACTGGAGCAGCACCTTCTAATTAGCAGGTATACAGAAGCCTTTTCATTTCAATGAGTCACTTCAAGGCAAAAATCCTAATGAAGACAACATAATTTGTACTGTCAATAGTTATCAGTGCTATGAGGGCTCCAGAAGACTGTGAGCTTTTATTTAATGTCTCCCTTTTAGAGCACACTCTAACTTTGCCCTGGTTTAGGGCAAATTTGGGAGAAAACCTCCGAATGGAATCGTTCTAAAATGCACATTTAAGCGGCCCCTCCCCCAACTGGTTCCCAGAAAGATTTCCTTGCAGAAAAGTGGAAAAAAACTGCTCATTTAACAAGTAAAGTATCTACAAGCATAAAAAAAAAAAATAAAAAATAATACTAACAATAAAACCTCTCGCTGTTGGAAGAGATGGCAAATTCAGAAAGTCCTTGCCGTGGGCTGCAGCTCAGTCTCTTCTCGGTCCCTCCGGCGCTGCAAAGTGCCGAGGCCCAGGCCCCGCTGAGCCACAGGTGGGAGCTCCCAGGGTTGTCTGGGTTTGCAGTCCAGAGCAGGCTTGGAAAGATCCAAGGAAAAAGGAAAACACCGTCCGGGGAATTTCTCAGCCAGCTAAACAATAACTAAACGCTGTGTCCGTGCTGCAGACAGCACAGGCCGGAGCGGGGCGGGGTGAGCGCTGTTTCTCAAAACAAACCGCGGCTTCTTTTGTCCCTCCCCTTCGCTCCGGAGCCGCTTTGAAACGTGCGGAATTCAATATCCAGCAGAAACAGAACGGACCATTGGGGATACGAACAGCAGAAAGTCAGCCCAGGATAACCTCCTTTAAAAGAACAAAGCCAAAGAGGAATAACCTTCAGGTGCTCCTGCAGGGCAGGAGTCCACAGCCATACATTATTTTGATTACCATTCCCTCATTTGAGAAAAATCAGCAAAGCGCTATCAGAATATTTATGTCATCAGACCAAATGAATCTCCAACAAGATTTGAAATTATATTCAATAGTATTAACTACTGCATTTTTGAGACTGTAGAGAGTACTTCTTGTTTTTGGGGGGGCTACAGGGACTCCATATTTTCCAAATCAAGCAGTAACTTTGCTGGGTTACACTGATTTTCCACAATACCAGTTTTGCCTACTTACCCCCACCTCTGCAGCAGCAGCCTCCAGAATCTCCTCAGTAAATGCTGATCAAAGTACAAAATTTGTTTCCGGGGAGGGTGAGATGAATTGCTAAGGAAGGAACATGAAATGGGAATGATCCGAGAACAATGGCAATTAGAAACTAAGAGCAGCTGGGCTGGAACTGTGGGAGGCTGATGGCCCCAGCTGAAACTTATTCAGATTTGTTAATCCTCTAAAAGGAGGAATTTTAACCTCCAAGTACATACACACAGGTGCTACTGACAAGAAACAGAACAACTGTAAAGAAAAAGTACAGAGGATAACTTTTTAGATGTGAATACATGTCAGCCTTTGGCACCTGATCATTAGTACCAGCACTTAGTATAAAGCAAAAATATTTGGCAGTTTGAAAATTGTGTTCACATATAATTACTGTGCTGGCATTCACTACATTCAACCAGAGGAGCAAAGAACTGCGTGGTAATTTCTGATAAAAAGGCAACTCCACCTTCTTTGCACTACTGTGACAACACAGGAAGACAAAGATGATTCATTTCTTTTCTACCACCAAATTTAAGCCTTTCCTCATTGACACTCATTTATCTTAAGACTTGTGATTGGATGAGCACATTGAAGTAAATCTTTTTCAGTTCTTCTCTGACCACCTCAAAGACTGCTGGAGCAGAACTGAAGGCAGAGAAGTCAGTGATGAGCTGGCTGTAAAGAAAATACGATTTCCTCAGCAGAAGAGCCACATAATACTTTTCCCATTAGACCTCCATATTTTAAAATATTTTCATCTTTCTTTCTTTCATCTTTCTTTCTTACTCAGTCATTGTACTGAGTAAATTTCTTACTCAGTCATTCTACTGACACTTCATTTTGAAACAGAATGCAATTCACTCCCCTAAAATAAAAATACTAAAGTGGGTATCTCTTCAAGCTCCTGAATACTGAACAAAACATGAAAAAAATCTGTATGAACCTAAATGTCTTATCAGGCTAGCACATCCAAGACAGTCATGTTTCTATAACCCTAATGGAAAACTGCTCAGAATATTCACAGAGTTCTCATGGAGATAAAAGTGAACTTTGCTTTATTTCTATCTTTAGCACCCTCTTATAGGGTCCTACAGGGTTCACACGGCTTAACAAGTTACTATTGGCTAATACATTTTGTTTATCATTCCTTTTCTTGTACACAACATCACTGTTTTTGTTCATTCTCATTGCTCCAGGAAAGTTCCAAGGACGCTGTCTTTGGAATTGTCTGGGTTGAAAGCTGGGTTGTGCAGACAGGCTTTGACTAAAATATCATGCCCTTGCTCTGTTAAAATGTTTTCCTACATAACCCAAATAAGACGGATACAATCCTATGCAGGCACCTTTGATATACCAGACTGCAGGACAAACCACCCAGCTGCAGCTGAGTTCACTTGGGACAAGTGAAGTTAGGGGGAAAATAAAGAAAAAAATGCAAGAAAAGAAATTCATCCTCAGCAGAAATAATGCAGTTTTAATGGACCATGGAATATCAGACACCCAGCAAGAAAATGACCTTTTCTTTGGTACTGAAATAACAAAGCAGAACACAAATGCTGATAAACCAACTTCATCTTTACAAAATCAATTTATGTGAGAAAAAGGAACAAAATCCATGACCTTTTCTTTACTGTTAAATAAACCAAATCCATTCAACTGAAGTTTTCTTTCTGAACATAAGTTATTGCCTGACCTTTCTTATTCCACTGCAGGATGCAATGTGATTGGGTGTTTTAAGTGATGTAAGCTCTTTTGTTCTTCCTAAATCAGAGGTTTGTGTCAGAGAGGAAACTGCACACAACTTCCCCAACCCCAAGAGAGATTCTGTAGGTACCATCTGAGAGATCTGTGACATGGCCCTAAAACCAGGGGCAAGGACCACACAGGCAGGGGCTGGAATTGGAGTGGATATTTCAGCTGGAATTTGACTGCCCATCCAAACCAGCCCTGTGTCTCCACAGCATCCTGCAACACACAAGTGTCAGCTCATGACCTGCACAATGAAGATGATTAAAAGTGATAATCTAATAAAAGTCAATGGAATATTTCATCTAGTATATCAACACCAACATTCTGTACAGAATACTGACATAATTTTGTATGCTAGTCTCAAAGAATCGGAAGCACAAAACACATTATCTGAAATTAATCTTTTCTGTGATGAGTTCTTGATAATTTTCTGGATTCTCTACACAAACTGTTTTAAAACACCATTAAATAAAAACATAATGTAAATAAATGATAATTACATAATAAATGTAATGACAGTCTAAACATAATTTTATGTGTAATTTTCTCTTGTGGAAGCAATGCCCAAGTAATGTTCAATAGATGGATGCTGCTGCCTGGGATAATGGCAAAATAGGTTTATTCACTGAAAATAGAAATGTGCTATTATTTCCAATCCTTTTAATCCCAAGAGCCATCTGTGGCCAAGGCCTTTTTTCGACACAGAAGATGTCAAAAATTTTTCCATGTGGAAATAAATAAAAATATATACATTAATTCCTGAAGCTGACATCTACCACTGTCAAAGTGCTGTCAATAAGGAACTGCTTGTGCATCATCCCATGGTTTGACAGGATGAACTTACAGCCACAGTAATCCTGACTGACTGGAAATCAGGAATAATTCCTTGAGAGAGACAAATCACTTTATTTTGAGAAATAACTCCCTGGCTTCTGGAAAGAGATTAGTGTATTACAGCCAGTTATCATCCTTTTCATCTTGGTTGTTCCCATTCTCTTATTTTTTTTACTTTTAAATCACTGAAAAATTGCCAGTGATGTGAACATGGAACAAAACCAATGTGATGGCTCCTAGAGGCAGGAGAGCTTTTATGCACAGCAAAACAAAATCTTGAAAAAGATGACCAAGAACTCTCTAGAACATCAAGACTTAGAATTGTATCTCCTGGCTGCAGAATAATAATGCTGAAAACCCAGAATCTGGGATTATTTGGCTTCACACAGTATGGAAGGGACAGCTTTCTGCCAAAAACCCCAGAGAAGAGGTGGAGACTAAATGTTGGTACACTCAGAGCTGAACAATAGTGAGTATTAGTGAGCAATGAGGATCTGTGACACTGCCAATTTCAGGGCCTGCTCATCTATTGCTTCTAAGAGCTGTGAGACCCCTAATAAAAGCCATGGGGTACTGTGGAAAGGTACATTTACTGATAAAGCAAGCTTTTTCTGGATAAAGAAAAAAAAAAGATTGCCATGGCAACCCTGGCTGAATTCAGCACATCACCTGTGCATGACTTCAATCTATCTGCAAGGGCTCTCTTGAAAGCTGAGGGTTTGCTTCTCGCTTGGGATCCCTCAAAATTGGACCAGGTTTTAAAAAGTAAGGATTGCACAGGAAATGGATGGGACTCCTGCATCCACCAGATCAAAGCCTGCTCAAAGGCAAAATTATCTGTGTAAAAGGAAAACAATGTACTTTTCTTGACAAAGTTTTCAAATGATTGTGAGGATTGGAGAGTCTGATGGATGCAGGGGACAAGCTAGGCTGGAAGTCTTCTGTGAGAAGGCAGATACACCTGAGGTGTTTCCCTTTTTTGCTAATGAAGCTTTATGCTTGGATTTCCTGACCTACTACACCAGTTTCTTTCTTTATAGAATAAGGGAAAAGAAAAAACTCAGTTATGGAAGAACGAGTGTTTTAGAGATGATGACAAGCATGAGAAAAAAAAATGAAATGCAAAACCAGTTAAAAAGTACACAGATAAAAATGTTATAAATAAATAAAATTCCATGTAACTTTTGTCCAAGTGTAACAGAGAACACAAGGCCCACTTAGAGCAGCATAAGCATGCCTAAAGGTAAAATCTAAAAGCTTCAGTTATAAAAACACTGCCCCAGGTTTCACCTCTGTAAAGCCTGTGAAATTCTGGTGTGTCAGGTTCTGCCAGAGCTTGGATTTAAAAAACAAACAAACAAACTTGGTAAAGCATTTCAAATAAAAGGAAAAAAATAGAACAACATTTATCGAAGATAAAGCAAGGCCAAATGGAAGCAAAGAAAAGTTTCTTTGTAGCCCTTGTCTGAAGTATCTTCTCGAGCAGCTCAGCACAACCAGGATGTCCTTCCAATCAGGGAGGTAAAATATCCAATTCCTTTGCTTACTTCCACATTTATAGAGACATAACCCACCTCTATAGGAAGGCCATGGGCTGAAGGCTTAATAAATACCTGCGCTCACTCCCTGCCACCAGGGAAACCTTTGAAGAGTTTGGCAGATTTGTTTAAATAAAATGAGTTTACACAAAAATACATGACTGGAGTACAGCACTTGGCTAATGTTGAAATGAAGTGCCTGAAACATAAAATACCTCTTTCTTATGTAGTTCTTGGGGAACTACTTAGAGGACAATTCACAAAAGCTAATTTCAGTCTAAATGTGTAGATTCTTCCTCAGAAGCAACCACTGGAGACAAACTCCCCCATGGAGTTTGAAGTGAGAATTAACACACATCTATTTTTAAATAAAAGAAAATCCTATTTTGTGTAAGTTCAAGACACAGTTCAACCATGAAAAATATATAAACCATTTAAATAAGTCATATATGTTTTCTTAAATTATTTGTGGCAATAAATTCTAAAGAGTTGGATTCATCAGTACTTGACCCCAGATATTCTTCTCAGTTCTCATACACCACTGCACCCCAACTTCTAGCCTTGCCAAACACAGCAGATTCAGATGGGGGCTGACTTTTTAAACGAGAAAGTCAATTACATTATAAACTTGCATTTGACATAAAAACAACCTGTAGAAAAAACAGGGAATCAATATCAATGAAAACTAAAAAGCTTCCCTAAAACTCACACAAATATTCACATGGGAGAGCCGACCTTGTCTGAGGGCAGGGGGATGAACAACAATGACAGACCCTTCCAGTCCTGCTTTCTATTAATTTCCACAAATCTTTCTCATTTTCAGGCACTCATTTACACACAGGAGTCTATGCTAGGCTTAGGATTTGGTTCTTCTAATACAGAAAATACACCAAATTTTTCAGGGCCTGCCTGAAAAAGTTCTCTCACTCATGAGTGAGAACTGCCTTGAAAGCAAATAAGGTTTTTTCAATCATTAACCAGCCCAAGCATTAATCAGCCCTGTGAGGAGGGCAAACCTCAGGTCAGACTAAAAAGGTTGTCTGACTTGCCACCAAAACAATGTTCATTCTTAGAGAGGTGTATTTTTAAACGAGTAGATGAACCTCATCCATATTGAAATTTCAAAATACAAACTCTCCTAAATAGTGCACTAAAATGCAAAGCTAAGGGTTAACACAGCACCTCCCAGTTTGTCTCTCAGCAGCCACACTGCTGACTCATAATGATACTCATTAACACAATCCATTATAGGGATTTTTTAAACTTTTGGAGATTATATTGTCTTAACTTTCCTTGGCAAAAGTAATTTCTGTGATACAGGAATCAGTAAGAATTAAAGCCTCTGCAGATAGAAGGAAAAAGAGCTGTGTAAAATTCTCTGTGTTTAATTTCAAAAGTTACAGACATGGAAAAATATCAGGAAACAACCTGACTTATTTGCAATCTCTGAAAAAAATTCTGTCACCCAGCTCTCCAAAGCATTCAATATTTCTAGTGAAGAAAAAAAAAACCTAGCAGAAATACAACTATTTCAAGAAACAATCACAAATCTTGCAATCTCAAAACTAAGTTAAATTATGGATCCAAAGAAGGTTGATTCATTCAAGCCATCTGCTCTTTTACTGACATGAGAAAAAACCCCAAATAAATAGAAATATTCAGAGCACGATTATCTGATTTTTCCCATTTTTCCAAGCCCCAAGTATACCTGGGTCAGGTCAGATACCTAGGTCAGAAGAGAAAATAATGTAAATGTTGCTCTTCTTCAAAACAAACAACAACAGAAAAAAAAACCTAACCCAAACCTATTATAAACCTGTACCAGTATCAAGATTCCATATGCACATTGTTACATTACAATCCTTCTACAATATGTAAAATAATGCTAAAAATGTGTGTTTATAGAGATGTTTTCTTCAGAGGCAGAACAACCACTGTTTATACATGTTTTTAAGCAGAATTAAAAGAACTACAGTTCATGTATTTATGCCTTTCACATATACATACTTAAGCCAATACATTCAAGCATAGCATGTTTGGGATTGTAAATGTGTCAAGATAACCCAAACAACACTGGCAGCAATTCTTCACCAATTGTACCACCATCAAACATGCCATTTATTTTACTTGGACAAAAAACCTAATATACACACAGCAAAAGATCATGTTTATCTCACCTATAGTATTCATTTATCATAAAATATGTTACAATTAATATAGAGAACTCAAAGGCAAATGACACCTCCAGAAGAAATTAAAATGCAGATTCTTGGGATAACTCCTGTGACAGTTTGCTCTTCCTTCCAACACAATAATTTAAATAAATTTACATTAAGCACTGATATTCCTGAAAAGGCTGATAAACAATTTAGACAATTACAGTGGAGTAATTCTCTCACAAAAAATCCCTAAACCTCCAAACCTGGGGACAAACCAGACAGTACTTTGTATGACCTTTAGACTGAATAACCAAGTTCACAAAATATGCAGGGTAATAATTCTGCCAAAAAATCCTTCAATCTGGTATAAATACAAATGTTACATTTTTTAAGGTTATGTTTTCATTTCTTTGCAGTACCTGCAGATGTTATAAAGCAACAGGCTGGCTATTTCTGCATCAGTAGGAGTCTTCTACTGAAGGGACAAATTTTAGACATTTTATAGAATGGACATTCCTAAAGAATGCAGAAGATAACTGAGAATATTCAAGGACAAGGATGAGAAAAACAATGAATAAGAGTAAATATTGCCTGACTTAGCCTTACTGTAACTCTAAGGAAAGCAGAGAGAGCTCCTGCAATGAGATGTGAGGCAGCACCACCTAAATTAAATCACATTCATCAGTGCAAACCCATTTCCACCACCACCACAGTACAAAACACCCTCCTGCATTCCGTGTCCTCAATAAAAAACATCCCGTCTAGTGATGAGCAGGAGAGATACCCTGTTTCTGAATTTTTCTTGCAGAAGGAAATATTTTTTAAAAGGAAAATCTCTGGCTATCTCCTTTCAGCAATTCCCGAAACAGAAAAGGGCAGGATTTACCCTCAAGCCACCAGCAGTGAGGGATCTCAACACACTGGTCCCACAACTGCTTCAGAAGCCAAAAAATGTGTACTTGTAGCTCATTTTGCTTAAAATAATAAACACGCGGTTTTTATATCAGGAAAAGCTTTTGGATTAACTCCTCTGGGGCAATCTGCCATGGCCACGGTCATCAGGAAATGCCTGTGGTATTACTCTCTATGGTGGCAAGCTGCCTGGTCACCTCCTGTCTGCAACTCGTTCAGCACCAACTTCGTACTTTGTGAATGGCCCAGTTATTAAAGCACTGGGCTGGTAATGCTAAGGTTATGCGTTCGATCCGTATCTAAGCTCCCTAACTATAACATAAACCTTATTCTTCTGCTGGGCCGCTCCTAACTCGGAAGGAATGCAGCACACCGAAGGGAGTGTATTGAGTACTACCAGAAGCACTCTTGTCATCATCAGTGCTCACCACAAAGGACTGCTTACACCCTCTAATTCTTTAGCGGAACCAGTTAGACTGGTCATGCACAATCAACGAGCTATGCCTGGAAGGCAGCTTATACCGCGTGAATCGTCGTCGAGTCTGGGGCTCTGGCCAACCGAGGGCGGGAAACGCTAAGGAATAAAGCAAATGGTCTGGGACTCTGCCAACTTAGTGCCAGGAACTTCTGGGGAGTTTCTGAGGCAGGAAACATGCGGAGCCAAGAACTTTAGTTTGAGAGCTCGGGAGGCAGGAGCAGCCAGCCCGGGATCTCGAGGGACAGGAGTAGCCCGGGAGCTGGGGGGGGGACAGGAGCAGAGCAGCCCAGGATCTCGGGAGGCAGGAGCAGCTCCGGAGTCCTGAGGCAGGAGCTCCCCCGGGATCTCGGGAGGCAGGAGAAGCTCCGGAGTCCTGAGGCAGGAGCTCCCCCGGGATCTCGGGAGGCAGAGAAGCTCCGGAGTCCTGAGGCAGGAGCTCCCCCGGGATCTCGGGAGGCAGGAGAAGCTCCGGAGTCCTGAGGCAGGAGCTTCCCCGGGATCTCGGGAGGCAGGACTAGCTCCGGAGTCCTGAGGCAGGAGCTCCCCCGGGATCTCGGGAGGCAGGACTAGCTCCGGAGTCCTGAGGCAGGAGCAGCCCCGGGAGCTAGGGGGACAGGAGTAGCTCAGGAGGCAGGAGAAGCTCCGGAGCTCGGGAAGCAGCAGCACCTCCCGATTCGTCACTTGACCCCGCCTTGCATTGCTTTGAGCTCGTTTACAAAGACCCTGCCTCGATTCCTCCCTCCAATCCTGTAAAATGTCTGTGAGGCCTGCTCTCTCTACTCTAGAGAGCGCCGCCCAGCGCCGATTCCGCTGTTACCGACGGTTACCCAATTCCTGCACGCCAAGACAGACAAGGAGCCATATTGGAGGTGCTCATGGCTAATGATTTCTATTTACGCTACTATGTGGGACACAAGGGGAAATTTGGACACGAGTTCCTTGAGTTCGAATTCCGGCCCGACGGTGAGAGAGGGACAGGGACGGGGACGGGGCCGGGGCCGGGGCCGAGGGAGGTGGGGCGCGTTCCCGGAGGGTTGGCTACCGAGTCTGGGTACGCCCGGCATGGGTTAATGTCTGCCGTTGTCCTCACAGGGAAACTGCGGTACGCTAACAACAGCAACTACAAGAACGATGTGATGATTCGAAAGGAGGTGAAGGCGCAGTGCGGCTGAGGGCGTTTGTGCACGGATTGTAGCAAAATGGACTCCAGACAGAATAATCAGGAGTGCATAGTCGGCGAGAATAAAACTGCAGACAAACCACCAGTCAAAGAGAGCGCGGACGTAGCAAGGGGACTGACTTAGTGGGAGCAGCAGCAAAGGGCAGCGCTCGGGGCTGGGTTTCGTTGCTACAGCGTTGTGGACAATATTTATACATAATACAATATTTATATACATTATATATATTATACGTATATGTAGTATATATATTATTGTGTATACCATATGTATTTTTATATTATATATAATGTTTTCTATTTTTTATATTGTATTTATATATGTTATCTATAGTGTATTATGTTATATATTATTATATATTATAGTAATATTAATATTTATTGCTCTGCTGGAATGTTCAGGCTTACGTGCACAAGAGTGTGATGGAGGAGCTGAAGAGGATAATTGATGACAGTGAAATCACAAAAGAAGATGATGCTTTGTGGCCTCCTCCTGATAGAGTGGGCCGACAGGTAGGGTGCACAGTGTCTCTTCTAATTGCTCTTTAATTTTTTTATATTAGCTCCTTGGAAGCATAACTGAACTTTTTCTTCAGGGCAGTATTGTTTCCAGTTGAAAGGGAAACAAATACTGCTTTAATACCTGAGAAGTGCCTCAGTCGCAGTGTAGTTCTAGTGTAGTGCAGTCCATCACAGTACTAAAGTATTTCTCTAACTGGTACCATGAAGCACTGAGTTCCTATAACCTTTTATTTTTCAGGAGCTCGAGATAGTAATTGGTGACGAGCACATCTCTTTTACCACATCAAAAATCGGTTCCCTCATTGATGTAAATCAGTCCAAGTATGTACTCTGCTTTTTATGCTGTCCTTGTTTCTATGTTTATCAATCTGTATTAGAATTTCCAGATTACATGTATTTTAAAATTTCAAAGTATGCGCCAACTCCTTGGGGCACCAGTGTGTTGCTGCCTTGAGGCTATTTTAAGTAATCTGTCCTGCTTCAGGTCATTTTAAGTAACCCGGCGTTACATTCTCAAAGTCGATGAGAGCAGACTTTTCTGTAGGAACCCTGTTACATACAGAGTCTGAGCTGCCTGTTTCTACCAATTCCTAGGGAGACTCAAGATACCTGCATTTCACCTAAGCTGAAAAGATTGACTGTTTGGGGAGGGGGTAAAATCCCAAGTGCTGTTGATAATTGCTTTCATAATAAAAATGCATATTTTATAAAGATTTCATAGGTTCATAGTTGGAGTACAGAATATTTAATCAATCAGTGTAGAATAACAAATCTGTTAATGTCTAAGATGACATCTAAAAAGTCCTTATATAGGCTTTGGGGTTTTTTAATATATTAATTCTGTAACCTATTCTCTTAAGAGCATCAGTCTCAAATTTTTTTCCCCCTTTCTTACTTCTGTTGTGCACTGCAGAGATCCAGAAGGCTTGAGAGTGTTCTATTACCTGGTCCAGGATCTTAAGTGTCTTGTCTTCAGTCTGATTGGACTCCACTTCAAGATTAAGCCGATTTAAATCAGACAAACAGAAGTTTGCATTGCAGTGTTTGTAGTAGTAATGTGAAGATCCTTTTCCAGTTCTTTACAGTTTCTGAAATTTTTTTGTATTTTAATTTTTTTTGATTGTTGTTGTTACAAACTGTTAATGAACTAATAAAACAGGTGAGATTTGTGTTTTTAAACTGTGGTGGGAGACTGACTTTTAACACTTTTATAACAGTGCATTCAGAGTTTCCCATCTTTTGTACAGTTCAGTAGAGAAGGTAATTTCTTTGGCTCTGCAATTAAACTTCCGCTGTTAAGAGCTGCACTTTCTGCTTCCTAGACAATACCAGCAATACCCGCAGTGCACAGCACTAGAGCAAGGTTTGAAGCTTGGCTCTGAAATGAAACTTCAGCTGGCTATAAAGGCAAGACTTCGTTACTATTTTGAGCTGCATATTCTGTTGTCCAAATAACAGTATAACAAGGGCACAGCAGTAGAAAAAGGAATGAAGCTTGGCTCTGAAATTAAACTTTTGCCAGATGTCAAGGCAAACTTTTGTTACTATCCCAAGCTGGGTATTCTGACAAATTCTGACTCTGCACAGGATAACTGGTTTCAGCAGTCACTGATCCCCTTTATCCCAGCCTGGGCTTACTTGCTTGCCTCCAGAGTAAACAAGCCACCTGGCAGCCATCCAGGATCTTCACTTTTCGTCCCGTTCAGTTTCAGAGAAGCTGAAGAGCAACCTACAATGTATTTAGTTCAGTTCTAGACTAGCAGATCTGTTGTGTGGCATTAGTTTAAAGACTTTGAGGGGAGCCCCTCAGGCCCTGAGGGTGGACCCCATGGCAGTGCTGCCAAACTGCGCTTTTGCTTTCTCTTAACACATCTGTGTTGTCTGAGAAAACGCTGTGATTAAAAAAAAAAAACAAAAATTGCCCGTTTTTAATTGACATGTAATGTTGAAAACGCCGGTGCCTACCGCTACCCTTCCCCACAGACACCGCCCGCCGTTCCGCGTGGAGGGGCAGTGGCGGCCGCCATATCGGCTGAGGGCAGACGCGGTTTCGCGCCGGCTCGGCCGGGCAGGGCGCGCGGAGCGGCCATCTTGAGGACACGGCTGCGGGGAGCAGGGAATTCCACAGACTCCGCGCGGCCATGGGGGTAGGTGAGAGCTTTGGCCGGTGCCCTGCGGGCCTTGGGGATAGGTGAGAGCTTTGGCCGGTGCCCCGCGGGCCATGGGGGTAGAGGGGAGCTTTGGCCGGAGCCCTGCGTGAGGGTAGGGGGGAGGCGGGCCGGCCGGGGCTGACGGCGCTCCGCCGCTTGCCTTGCAGAGGATCGGGCTGCAGCTCCGCGCCACGCTGGAGAACATCACCCGGCTGCGGGCCGAGGGCCAGGACTTCCGATGGTACCTCAAGGTGCGGGGCCGCGGGGCCGGGAGCGGGAGCGGCGCAAATCCCTGATTATTGACAATTTTCAACCTTCCGATTTGTGTTCTCCAGCTGAAATGTGGGAACTGCGGTGAAGTCTCTGAAAAGTGGCAGTACCTGCGGCTGATGGTACGTGTGCCCCTCATAACCTACCTCTGAGCAAAAATGAGCACACAAACCTGCCTCTTACATATGTATCCGCATGAAGAATGTGACAGCTTACTCTCTAGATGAGATCGTTTTTCAATAGCAATATGCATGTAGAAAATTGTCGTGTTCCATATTAAAATAAATATTTGGAGACTGTTATTGGCAATGATGACCGTTGGTAACAAAGTATTACATCTGTTTTTAAAAACACTTTTCTGTAAATATTTAAAAGGAAATTTTGAGGTGGTATCAAAATAAGGTTATGCCTGTAGCATAGTTCTCTGATGCTGATGGAATCTTTTTGGAGTAGGTTAGGTAAATCAAGATGATGTAAGCATGCTAAATCAGCATTTGGAAGCTGAAGAAGCAGGATAAAATTTTTTAGGGATACTTGTCTATTCTTAACAATAATCATCCTTTTTTGTAGCATACACTGAATGGTAAGAATGTTTTTTGAAGAATTAGCAGAGCATGCTTATATGGTTAAGACAAAAGTATCTATTATTCCCTATTTAAAATCTAGAACAGAATTACTCTGATAATTGCAGCTTGTTGAGTTATTAATATCTGTAGTTAAAAGGAATAGCTGCCTTGTTGCAGTATTTTAAAAAAGCTAAAGATCATTGTAAAAACTACCTCACCTTTGCAGAGGTTTCCAGTGGCTCAGCTGAAGTGGTTAAAAATGTCTTGCATTTCTTGTCTTGCATTTTAGGACAGTGCTCCCCTGAAAGGAGGCCGAGGAAGCGCCACAATGGTGCAGAAGTGCAAGCTGTGCTCCAGGGAGAACTCCATTGGTATGTGCTTGTGAATTGACCAGGCAGCATCCTTTTACAGTTTATCTTTTAGTCCACATTTGTGCTTTGTTTGTAAAGAGCTTTCACCAGGGATTTCTTCGCTTGTACACGGGTGCTTGAGTGTACAGGCACATTCTCACACATTTTCTTTGGGGTTGACATCACCAGAGCCACAGGAAATGACAGGCACATTCTGGACATCATGTTCAGGGAGACAGCAAGGCCTCCTGGTGAGTTCAGGCTTCTGCATGAACAAAACTCATCTGTATTGTTACTTTACAAAAGCACGCAGATCTTTTTGGCATTGGTACGGAAAAATGGTGCAGTGTAAATTTCTCAGGAGAAGGGAGAAAAATTGAATTTTACCTTTTGAAGACCAGCTGCAGGAAATGCTTGCTGATTTTGTTTCTTTTGCTTTGTGTAAGGAAACTGCTGTGAAAGAAGATCCTAGTGCTTGCTTTGTGCTGAATAAAATGGAAGACATAATGCCACTGTCCTGGTTTAGGGCAAATTTGGGAGAAAACCTCTGAATGGGGCCCCTCCCCCAACTGGTTCCCAGAAAGATTTCCTTGGAGAAAAGTGGAAAAAGCTGCTCATTTAACAAGCAAAGTATCTACAAGCATAAAAAAATAATAATATTAACAATAAAACCTCTCGCTGTTGGAAGAGATGGCAAATTCAGAAAGTCCTTGCCGTGGGCTGCAGCTCAGTCTCTTCTCGGTCCTGCAGCGAGGCCCAGGCCCCGCTGAGCCACAGGTGGGAGCTCCCAGGGTTGTCTGGGTTTGCAGTCCAGAGCAGGCTTGGAAAGATCCAAGGAAAAAGGAAAACACCAGGGAATTTCTCTGTCTCAGCTAGCTAAAAACTGAAAGCAAAGGAGCACTGTCCGTTGTCTGACCACGCTGCAGACAGCACAGGCCAGAGCAAACACTGTTTCTCAAAACAAACTGCGTGTTTGTTTTTCCCTCCCCTTGCGCTTGCCTTGCGCTCCCTTAAAGGTACAGAACTTAATATCCAGCATAAACAGAATGGACAGTTGGGGATGCAAGCATCACAGAGGTCAGCCCAGGACAGCCACTCACTTGTATACTTTTTGTTTTGTTTTGTTTTAGATATTTTAAGTCAGACAATCAAGCCTTACAATGTAAGTTTGTTTCCTCTTCTATGTAATGAGTGAAAGATAAACAAGCATTAACAGTATTTGGATATTCTGCTTTATCATCCTCCTTCAAGAACACAAAAAGCTGGTATTGTCCCTGGACAGAAATTGTCTGCTAGACTCCTGCACAGTCTCAAGTGTAGAATAATCTGATACATTTCAAAGGCCAAAACAGAACTGTATCACCCAAATTAGACGTGATTGTATAACGCCCCTCTAGGTTTCCTGTTTAAGGCTTCCTCATGGCAGATTAAGAAATTCTAGTTAGTGACCACCTGTGAAATGAGCCCTAGGATTTTGCTGTCACCTGGGGCATCAGAGATGACAATGCTGCCTTTAAAGCAGTCCATTCCTAGACTAATGCTTGTCACTATCTCTATTAGACAGAAACTAATGGTTTTTTAACTCAATTACAGGCTGAAGACAGCGAGCAATTCAAAACAATTGTGGAGTTTGAATGCCGAGGTCTGGAACCAGTTGACTTTCAACCACAGGTGAGTTCTTATTTGTGATTTGTTTCTGTTTTTAAAAGCACTTCTACTAGAGTGATAAAATACACATTATTTGAAATGCTCCTGGAACATCTTAGAACTTCCCAGATTCCCATCCTTCCACAGTTCCTTGTTTTAGTTCATTTGACTCAAGAAAAAAAAACAAACCAAAAACTTGCAAACAGCTAACCCAAACAACTGGTATTCTCTGCCAGTAAAATCTAGAACTTATCACACCTTGGACTTGTACTCAAACCGCCTCACAGGTGACTCACTGTTAATCTGAATTCATCTGAGATCTTCACTGCTTGGGTTATTGCAAAAGAGAATCTTTGCCAAAGGGAAAGTGCAGCCTTAGATGAAGCACCACTTGCTCCTTGGTGCATTGTGGAGCTCATCAAGCTCAGGTTATGAATACACTTCAGTGTGTGTCCTCTAAAAAACAAACAGATTTTCTGTGGAGTTGACATCACCACAGCCACCAGAAATGGAACACTGGCATTTTTCCATTTGTTGCTTGAGTAGACAAAGCCTGAAGATTTCTGGCAGTTACAGGCTGGTGCAGAGCTCTGTACCTCAAGGTTCAGTGTTGAAGGATTTTCCACGGCCCATCTGCAGTGACTCATCTCTTATGCATGGTCATGTTCTATGGCACTTAACTCCCTGCTATATTTAACCTATTATTCCAGTCGGATTAGGTGTAAATAGACTGACAAATATAAACCAGTTTTATCCTTCTCTCAGTCTAAGATTCTGTGCTAAGAAATAGCCCCAAAAAAGCCAGTCCTACAACGAATTTGATATAAATAGAATCCCCACTGCAGCATGCCACAGGATGTCTTCATTTAAAGTGAAGTCCATCTTTTTGATGAATGGTTATTCTTTTATTCCAGAACAATTACTAGTTTATTCCTGCTTGAAAGCTTTGCAGCCAGACTTATACTTGCAAAAAAAATCTATGGGAAGACTATCCTTTGTTTCTCTGATATAAACCCTCATTTTACACCTAGTGCAGAAGTTTGCAATTGCAGTCACACGGCTGGTGAATGGCTACAGGTGGCAAAAGCAGGGCTTCTTTCATTTTTCTGGTGTTTGTTCTATACTCAGCTCAGTTTTGGCCCATGATGCTGATCTTCCTCTCCACCCCAGCAGTTCCCTTGACAAGGGCTTCTGATAGTTATGGAAAGGCCACTGTGCCCTGCCGATGCCTCTCCTGCTGTTAGATTTGTTAGATCTGCCACATTCTGGTTTATTTAACTCACAAGTGCTTAACCTTTCAAACCTCAAATATTTCAAAGTCATATGGCTTACTTTACATATTCTTACAGCTAAATGTCTGACTGGCACTAGTGGGAATTTTCTTTGTCCAAAATGCATGTGTAGATCCCTTGCAGAAAACCAGGAAGAAGCTACCTTTTATTTTTATCCACTTGTTAATAAAATTTTGTAGTTAGAAACGGCAATGTAAGAAACCTTCCTGCATGCTACAGAAGAGGCTGGGATTTTTAAATGTAAATCTTATGTACAGCTTGGTAACTGTGAACTCAAAAATGAGAGAGCTCTTCCTATAGAAGATAAACCAGAGCACCTTCCTAGAGCTGTCCTTTCTTCACTCTTTAAAAATGGCAGCAGTGATGACAGTGAAGAACTGTCCCCTGTGAAATGCTTGTTCAGGATACTAATCTGTTCACTCAGCCAGCTGATCCTCCTTACACATAAAGCTTGCTTGTCACTTGTGTACCTAAATCCAATACAAGCTGTTCCTTCTCTAGAGTGTCTTGGATTCTGACAGTATTCAAGCTCGAACTCCTAACTTTTTTCCACATTTTCTATTACTTTCCTTGCAGTGTATTATGAAGCTATTATGCCTGTGTGGACTCTGAACACAAAGCTATTGCTAGTAATTGGATGCTTCTACATAAACTTAGAAACTAAGGTTTAACATTATTTAGAATAGTTGGAATTTTTTTTTTTTCTGGGAAAAATAGAAGAGCAGTGTTCCCTCATTTTATTCTAGTTGCTTGGATTGAGTTTTCCCAATGCACAGGCAGAATCACAACCTTATACTGGCCTTAACTAGGAAAGAGCTTGCCCATTCTTTCTACCTAATTTAAAAGAAATACAATACATTTTTATGCTGGGTTATTTTGTTTAAATGTTTCAATGATCATATTTATTATTTTGTCATTACAACATAATTTAAAAAACTTTCTGCAAATGTGTTTGCAGGCAGGATTTGCTGCTGAAGGTGCAGAATCTGGCACACCTTTCAATGATATAAACTTGTTAGAAAAGGTATGTTGTCTTAGTTTCTTTAGCAAAACTACTTATCTAGCTTGCTTTCCCCACATCACTAGTCCAAAATGTACACCCTAGACTGGTTTTGCCTGTAGCCACAGGAAGGCCAAGCTGGAGAGAGGAACTGAACCAATATGAACAACCAGCATTACTAACAGTGTTGTTTTAGAAGTATGGATTTGTTAACTTACCAGCTGACAAAGAATTGAGTCACACAGGAATTCCAGAGAACAAGAACCTGGAGTAATAACCTGGGGTTATTAAAGTGGCAAGTTGATTTTTCTAGGAAGATCCCTGCCCATTGTCCTGTGCACAGAGAGGTTAAAAAGATCGACACTGTTCTTCAAAGCTCAGGATAATGACACCAGCATTGCAAAATCTTCCTTGGCTGTGAGCAGGAATCTCAAGGTCAAATCTGTTCCCTGGTATCCTACTTGGCAGGGATCTGCTTGTCTGCTTACCCACCTGACTGGGGTATTGTAAATCCTTTCACCTGCCATGGCTGCTGCTTGTCCACTACAGGCTGGGGACTACATAAGAAAATAAACCCCAGCTATATGTGTATATATAAACACTGAGACTGAAGCTCATTTAATTTCAGGTTGGTGCTCTTGCTACTCTCACTTGTTAAAATTTAACTTTTTACAGGTATCTAAGACTCAAACTTTGAGTAATGTTTTATTCCAGTTTGAATTCCAGTCTGTGTGCATTCTGTCCCCTGTGACTAACACTGTGAAATCTTATTTCCTACAGGATTGGAATGACTATGATGAAAAAACAAAGGAATCTGTTGGAATCTATGAAGTTACCCATAAATTTGTAAAATGCTGAAGTTCTTACCCCTAACAAATTATGACATGGTTATTGATGGAGGAGCTATAAACATCAGATACGCAGCTTCCTTGGAGTTACCTTTTTACATGGCTGCACTTCAGAAATGGAAACCTAAGTTCACAGAATCATTAAGGTTGGAAGAGATCTCCAAGATCGAGTTCAACCTTTGACCAACATCACTGAGTTGTACTTTCTGTCCCCAGCATGCCCTAATAAAGTATTTCCCATGGAGCACTTGGAGATGGCCTCAGTACAAACTGAAAATAGTACATATTGACTGAACTGTGCCATGTTCTTAATGCTGTGGGGTTTTGGAATTACAAGGTTGTGGTGGACTATAGCTTGGCTAATGGATACAGTAACTACTTACACAATTTACAGCCTTACAGGTTTTAATAGTTGGTCACCAGGAAGTAGCCACGTTTTATTCTCTAACATAAGCAAATAAAGTCTTCCCACTCAGCCGCTCCTATCATGAGGAAATGGCTACAAGCATTAGTAAAGGCACTGTGTTAATTGTTCAAGGGAACAGCTACACCTTTAAGCAGCTTTCTGTCACTTCAGGTAAAGACTGAGGTGAGTTTTCTGAGAACACTTCTAAGCTTGACTGCTGCTGACAGTTACAGTTAGAATCCTCTGAAAAGCAAGTTATCTTTCCAAGTATGTCATTAATGAGGTCATTACCTCATTTTTAGCTGAAGACAAACTTTGTACTCCTTAGTGAGTGCACTCGCAATCTGGCCAGCTGTTCTCATGCTTCAAAACAAAACAAAAAACCCCACCAAACCAACCAAAAAAGAAAAAAAAAAAGGCCAGCCAATCTTGAGTGAATTTTATTCAGACTTTTGGTCTGATTATTGTTTCCTGATATGTCAGTTCCTGCATCTTCCCAAATTATCACCTTTTTTTGTTTAAATGAACAAAAACAATCATGCTAAGTTTTAAAGTCAGTTTTTTAAACACTGCTTTTCAGCGGAAAACTGGAACAGCACATTACAGGAGCAAAGCCTTCAGACTTGCATATGACAACCCTGCCTCTCCCCTGCTAGCACTTTTATTTCGTGCTTCCAGGACAGGATATTGCTTACACTTACTGTGCTAAATTAAAAAGACCCTGGGAGAACCTGGAAGCTGAGATACTCAAAGGAAGAGCAAAGGCAAGTAGTTTCTGAGCCTCTGAACCTGATCTGTCATGTCCAACCAATGTGCTCAGACTTTCCTGTTCTGCTGACACATTTGATTGTTTGGGCCAGTGGGGCATGAGCTGCATTAGTTTTACAGAGCTCACAGAAGCCAGCACCACTGTGCAATTCAGCTCCACAGAAAGACTCGGCCTCCCAGAAGAGAAAGACTGGAAATCAAGAGGGTAAAAGGCAGGAATTCGAGGTCTGCATACCAGGCAGAGTGCAAAATGCTTGCAGCAGTTTTCTTTCCAACCTTGTAAGAAACGAGTTATTGATAAAGGGTCTACCCCATGCTGTATGATTTAGTGTTGGGGGTTGGGGGGGTCCTTCCTTTAGTTCCTTCTCACCTATGGAATTTTTTGCCCATTAGTTGCAGGGAAAACTGATGGCTGGTACTTGTTGGGTGCTTGAGAAGCAGAGTTTGGCTGGGCCCAGGGGGGAAGCGGGGCAGGGGATGGGGAGGGCAGGGGCAGCTGGGGGCTGGCTGGTTTCTTGGGCTGGAGGGTGACACTGTCTTGGAGCTGTTGTTGGTTGGAGAAGGGAATTTGCCATCAGTGAGACAGAGCTGCTGCTGCTGCTTCTTCCTTCGTCTGTGTGCCTCGCACCCCCTGTCCTGCTGGGCAGTGCCAGTGCCAGGCACCACCACAGAGCTTCTGATCCACCTCATCCCCCGGCCCGAGATCTCAGCTCACCCCTGCTGTTCCAGCTGAGTGTTCCTCAGAGCCCTGCAGGAGCACCGGGACTGCCCGCCCGAGGGGTTTGTGAAGCAAAGCCTCTCCTCCATCCCTTCCCATCTCGGCCGAGAAGGCTGTCACGGGGTCCCTGGTTCTGTTTTCTTGTTAATGCTGTAGTTGTTGTTGTTGTTACACACTAGTAAAGAACTGTTATTCCTATCCCCAGATCTCTGCCTGAGAGCCCCTTGATTTCAAAATTACAGTAATTTGGAGGGAGGGGGTCTACATTTTCATTCCGAGGGGGGCTCCTGCCCTCCTCAGCAGATGCCTGTCTTCTAAACCAAGATATTTAGATGTGGCAATAAAAGAACTTCGTGGTTATTAATAGACAGCTTTATTAAAATAGAGTCTTTCCCAGTCAGTTTAACAACCCAGATGGTGACTGTAGGTTACTTAAAGACTCTCACTTAATTTTTTGTCTCTAAAACCTCTTGAGGCACAATCAGTTCTGATATGAGGCACAATCAGTTCTGATATAAATTCAAGTTTAAAGAGGTAAGTGTGACAAGTTAGTAAGCAAGCTTACTGCAAGAGTGCAAATGGAACCACTCTTCCATGTTTAAAATTATTGCATATATTTTTTTAAAACCAAACAGCTCAAGAGTGGTATCACAGTACTGTAGTCTGTCTGAACACTCACAGAGCACAGGTGTTCCAGGTTCATTAACTCCATAAAAATGCTTATTTTTGATCATGTGTTTTAAGAACACATGGATCTATTAGTTAATTTGACATAGTTAATGTCTGTATTTCCTGAAATGCATTCAAGGTCTGTAATTGATTTCTTTAAAATAGATAGAAATTTCCTAGTGAATCCAACAGTATTCAAGTTCAATGATGATACATGAAGACAATTAAGCTGGGCAGTCTCAGCCATGGTGAACACTGATTAGTATGTCACTTAGACATAATCTGCATTTTGTCCTGCAACTGTAAAGTGTTCCAATGTCTTTATGTCTAACTACCAATTTTCTTGCCCTTTAAAACATTAAAGATATCTTCTAGCGACTTGTGTATACACTCAAGGAATTCCTTACCATTCCTAGCAGGGTAGGAGGAAACATTACAACCTATCCAGTCATCTTGTACCTGATAGCCTACTCCAAAGCCATCAGACACCACAGGGCCAAACCCTCCTAACTGCACAGCTGGGCTCACCAAAGTGCTGGTGGAAATGATGTTGTGATTAATGCGAGCGTAGGCTTGATCTTGATAGAAATCCGGCAGTGCCAGCCCCTTGGATAAGGCCAAATAGCGCAGGCTGAAGAGATGCCGGTCAAAGCCCTGGCCTGTGAAAGAAAATAACAAGTATGAGAGAGGTGCCTGACTTTTGTGGGAAGTAAACTCACCTCAGCCACAAAAGAGGAGGTCTGTAGAACTGGAGTTTATTTTTGCTCTGGTAGGAAATATTCTTCAGACTTTTCATGCCCATATCCTAGGAGAATGGGGCCTGCTTGTTTTATTGCAAGCCTCAACAGATCAGGAGAGTACAAAAGTGCAGTGTTAACAATTTTAATAATACATCACATTCTTTGATTAACTATTTATCTGAACATAGACAAGTTATTCAATGCAGAAAAAGCTTTTCCAAAAATTTAGGACTCTAAAGAGGAAGAGCATCTTGCACCAACAAAAGGAGGCAAATTTTAGACTGTGGGATAATATTCAACAGTCAATTTTGCTGCTGTCAATTTTAATGCTTCTCAGAAAGATAGTTCAAAAGAAAGCATTTAGAAAAATACCAGGAGTAGCATGGCCAAAAAATGAGTTTTATTTGAAGTTGCTAAAGCCTTTATCCCCTGCAGAGATAAGCCAAAGTTCTTGTTCAACATGCACTAAGTATTTATGAACTCTTCAAAGAAGAGTCCAACTGCTCTAAGGACAAAAACTGAAGCACAAAAAAATTCCCCAACAAGAAAAGTGCTGTGGGAAGCACAGAGCCACTCCTCTCCATCAAGAAATGAGGAAATGCACTTTAAGCTGCAGCCTTCTGCTACTATTTTTGTCAAGTTTACATTAGATCTCCATCAACATTAAATTATTTGGTTACAAGTATTTACAGCAACCTTAATGGACATTTTAGTGCAAAAGGAGGAGTGTTTGATGTATTCCTACTTACCCATAGCAGCCTCTTTCGTCAAACGGCCGTGGTACTTGGAGCACTCCACTATCAAATTCTGCAGCTCTTCTGTGCTGTGTTTGGAGAGTTCCTTGACAAAGGCTTCAGAGCATTTCTTTGTGTGGACAGAGGCAGGACGTATGGTTTCTGTACGGCCGTGCTTGAAAGCCGCAGTGCTGCAAGACTCGTACGTAGCGACGGTCTGGTCATACTGGCGAAGGAAAGCCATCTGGAAGGCCAGCTGAGCCACAGCATCAGGGCTCACCTTCTTCTGCTTTAGAAGTTCCTTGCCCCCTTCTTGGAACTGAATCATGTTAAGAGACAGCGATTCTACAGTGGCATCAAACTTCTGCTTGGCTTTGGTGATCCCTGCTTTTAAGGCATCGTTCAGCTTGAAGTCAAGTTTCTGCACTGCTCTGGAAGAGTCAACTGAAGCAGGCTGGGACTGGGGGCTGATGGCTGGTGTCTTGGTGCTGTCTTTAAAAACCTCGTTCTGGAACCTGAGCACAGCCACACCATCTCCCCAGGAATGTTCAAAATTAATTCCTGCAGTGCCATCCTTAGTTATGATAAGATTAAAGGATTTGTCATACCAGCGGTTTGCAGCATCTCCATGCAACATAGTGTGGGACAAGTTCACAAAATCTTTAATGGCAAAATCATCTAAACTTAAACAAAACATGGCAGAGTCTACTTTTTGAAGAGCTTCTTCATTGCCATTCTCCAGTAGATTCTTCCTCAGCAATGCCCATGTATCTCGGTTTTCACTGGTGAGGTAGCCAAGAGGGAAGGCTGGGGCTGGACTGTTGTCACTGAGGATGTATTTCAAGTGTGCTTGAATTTCTGAGGGTTTCAGCATGTTTCCATCTCTATCAATAACATCAAACACATAAAAATTTCCATTTCTCAACACTAGTAAATGTTTTGCCTTTTCATCTGTATAAAGCTCATCTTTGTTGAGCTTAGGAATCCGTGTAGAGTTGAAAAGCCTGAAGTACTGAGACATATCTAGGGGGTAAGCATTGACCATGTAGGCACCGAACCAAGAAACTGAAGAAGGCACAAATCGGATAATTTTTTTAAAGATCTCAGTGTCACTTTTTTCTGGATTGAGGTGAAAAACCTCTGGTTCAAGGTAACCAGCCCTGAAGGTCTTCATAAAACGTATGGCAGAAACAGTCATGTTCGTAGCTCGTATGAGCTGATCGTTGTATTCCGATTTCGGATCAGGATTAAAAGACATAAATGCATTAAAATTCAAAACAACAGGCTCACGTGCTTTTAGGTACATGTCAAACCAGGGACCTGAAAATTGAGAGTTGAGAAAGAGGTCAGAACATAAAAGCAGCTTCCTGAGTCAGACCAGAGGGTCACGTAGTCCAACAGTGATCATGAATATACACACACTAAATTGCCTTTAAACAAGACAAACATATGCAATAATTCACCCAAGGCTTTTCCAAAACCTCACTATGAAGAATGATACTGTTGTCTAATCATAAAAACACTGAGTTCAGAATAATCTGTGTCAAGGGTGTTCACGTCATTAGCAACAAGGGCCAACTCCTTGTTTTCTGTATGGCTCAATGATAAACCTTAACTCCCAGGACATACAGTGCAAATCCCCAGCTCTATGTTTTGGTGCACGCTTCACATTTGGAGTGTTTCATGCCTTTACCTACTCTTGAACTATTAATTTCTGAAACTTTCTGTCACTGAGTGCATTTTGCATGAGGTTGAACCTTCTGCCTAGACTGCAGGAACAGCAACAGGTAGTTCCAGGGGCTAAGTTACAACTTTAATTACAGGTTCTCACAGGTAAGTAAATAACACTCATCTACAGTTTTAAAACCACACGTGCCATCAACACATAGCCTTTTAACCTCAGACTTGAAAGTCTAAGGTGGAGACAACTCTACATACTTTCAGAAACCAATTTCAAGTGGAACAGGTCTTTTATGAGGCATAAAGAAGAAAAATAACTGAACAAAAAGCAATACAGACACCCCAAAATTCACAGACAAAAAAGCAGCATACTCTGGTTAGCACTGATGAACAACATCAAGCCACCACTTAAAATCCAAGACATTGTTCAAAGTGAATGGAAAGCAAAATACAACAAATCAAAGAGCAGTTCTTGTGAAATAATCTGGTATTCTCTACAGACTGAGTGGCAGCTAACAACAAGCAGTCTGAACAGACAGCAAGGACAGAAGTGCATTCCCATAGGCAATATGGAAACTTCTACTTCCATAGGTATTTGACTATTTCCATCTCTGCTGCTATCTAATATTTTCATGAGTAGACACTTGAACATGGAAGTAATAATAAAGCAGAATAATCAAAAGTCTATATACATGCTCTCCCTCTCCTGATTTGTTTCTATTTATTCTCATTTTCCTATTTCTGTCACTCCTTTTCTTTGGCTTTTTGAAAGAATAGTTTTGTAGTTTTAAGGGTTTTAAATCCTGAGTACTGACCACTTCTGTGTCCAAAATTTAGTTATAGTCTGTGACCCCTCCCCTCCCTCAAAGTTTAGTTTTCTTGCTAAATAACATGGAATTATTTGGAAACTGTTGCTTCAGTTTCCTTAAGGGAAGTGCTAGAAAAGATCCTCTTTAACCTAAACCCTATAAACTCATGAAAAAATACCATTGTTCCAGTATCTATCTACCCAGAATTCTGGTAGAATAGATGAAGTTAGATAATGAGCATTCTTCTTTCTACCAGCCTCTGAAATTGCTCAAATACAGCCACAGACAGTGTTCACAACAGGTTATTCCAAGTTTCTTGGCTACTTAAAGCTTCAGCCTATTATATTTATGGCATTAGGAGCAGTTATGAAGTATGATGATCTACAGACTTGTCCTGCACCCAGCAGGCCAACATACCTGTGATGTAACTTGTATGCTTGTTCTGATTGTCTTGAGCAACCAGTTGCTCATGCAATTCTCTTCCAATCCCCTTTTCAAAGGCATGAGCAAGTTCCTCAGTTTTCCTACAACAATCAAGGAAAGAGTCAAAGTGCTGTCACAAGTCACATTTTTTATGTTAACACTTGGCTTTGAAGCAGAACATGACACTGCAATGTGTGTTTGTCCATACCTGAACTGGTCATCATTTAAAAGCGGTTTCTGGGCATTCAGGTATCTTGAAATTGTATCTTCCAGCTTGGGAACAGGCAGCCTGAAGGAAGTGGAACACAGAGAGGTACACTTGATGAGCAAGGGTATGAATAAAGCAAGTGTTTCTCACACAGTCATCTCTCTTTGCCTCCTTTCTTCCATATCCTTCCTTATACAATTATATATACTACACAGACAGATATATACACACACTATACAGTATGTACTATACCATTATATATAAATTTGGGTAATACCTATGCACATTATCCAAATGCCTCATGAGTTTCTTGTGGAATAAGAGAAGCAAGGAACTAGATGGATACCAGTCAGCACACCATTATTTTGGCTGCTGGAACCAAATCCCCAGCACAGTTCTTGGGAAATAAGGCAGAAAACCAAACTGACTGTCTTTTTACAAAGGCACTGCAGTGAAGGCAGCTAATCCTTTACAGGAAATAGTGTGACAGGAACCGCTGCTAGGAGAGGCAGCTCTGTTGGAGGGTTAGTTCGGCTGCCAGCCCTGTTCGGGCCCCCCGCTCACAGCTGGGTGCTGGACATCTCTTTCTGACAAATTTCCTATTCGGAATCTTCGTCAACTTCCTCTGAACCTGAGTTTTGTTTCCTATAGCACAATCCCGTTACACTCAAGGGGTTACTTTGGGCGCTAAGGGGATGTTTCAGCAGCAGGTTTGTGACGGGTTTCACTGACACCTGGAAAGCCGAACCCGCTCCTCCGCACACATCGAGCCGCGCACGCAGCGAGCCGCGGTGCCCAGGGCGGACGTTCCCTCTGCCCTCACAGCGGACATCCCGGGCCGCCGCCGCCGCCGTCCGGTGCCCGCGTCCCCCCGGAGCGGCGCGCCCCGGCGTACCTGGGCAGGCTCTTCTGGTAGTGCATGGTGGGCACGATACTGCGGTGCAGGAACTCGGCGGCGCCCGCGCCGCTGTAGCCGCGCCGCCCCGGGACCGCCCTCAGCAGCTGCCGCGCCGCCATGATGCGCGTCAAGCACGCGCCGGGCTCCGCCCCCCGGCCCGGCTCCCGCCCCCCGCCCC